CATTTAAAAGAAACATTTATTGGGATTTTTGTCATACAAAACTTTAATCAGGTTTTATGCCCCACATACTCTGGAGCCTGAAGTACAATTTACTTAATGTAACTAAGCCAGTTGTGTTGTAAACCGCTGTCTGAACACATACAAAATGCCACTTTTCTGTTGATAACACCCTTCTTGTGTGTAACATTCTAAAATGAAGACATCTCAAGCTGTACTGATTACCTCCAAATTTTCATGATGTGTGGGAAGATTTTCAGTAGCTGTATCATCATTCATGTGCTGAGTGCTGACCATGTTGCCTGCTTTTGAAAACCCTGGAAAAGGTTTCTGTGCTTACATGGTTCGCCAAGTACGCCAGGAAAATGAACTGCCCTCACTTCAGAAGCCGGTCAGACTCCACTGATGAAATTTGATAAATAAACATTAGGATTGTAATTGTTGTTTGTTTTCAGTCTTGTGTTTAGACTTTCAAAGGAAGAAAATCTACCACAAAACATCACTGTCAGAAAATGGCTGTTACCAACCTACCATTGTTTACAATTTTTGGTGCTTTTGAAATACCTTTATCAAAAATCATTTCAATGCCTCCCTGCCCCTATGAAGAAAATACCCTATCTTTATTCAGATTTACTCAGTTTTAGCATTCCGTAAGATTCTATATTCTATAATTATTCTCAAGGTAATAGTTCTTGAAACATACGTTTATATAATCACTGACCATTTTAAAGGACGCTTACTTTCCTTCAAAGTACAGGCTCAAAGTCTTTAGAGCTGGTACCTAAGCATTTACAGATTTCTAAATTTCCAGATTTCTGATAGCCAAGGATTATGAGCCACTTACCTAAAGGCAACTTCAGCAATACAAAGTCTCCCCATACTCATTTCCGAGTGTGGATATAGAGGACATTATCGAAATCTCTTTGGCCTTCTCAGCAATGGGGACCTGTAGTGTGAAGCCACCTTCATTTGTTCTGAGTAATGCAGTGACCTGGAACTAACATGCTGCAGGTGCGGGAAAGCGTTCACTAAACAAATGGGGCCATCAAGAGGGTAAAATTAGAAATTATCGAACAGACTATTAGAGCTGCTTGAAACAAACGCTTTGACTAATATGCAAACTGGAGAGGAAGTATGGTTTAACTGGGCCCATTTGGCCTTTTAAAAAATTAACGTACTCTATTTACATGTGAAAGATTCAAATATACGTAAATTTATGGAATAAAGTTACGCTCTCCCTCACACATCACCATCCCAAAGGTTACCCGTGCTTGCATCTCATGCTTTTCCCTGTACACTAAGTGTGAATATGTAAAGGGTTTGTATTGTATATAAATGGGATTATACTAAAATACGTAGTGCCTACTTTTAAGAATAAGTTAAATTTGTGAATGATTATTTCAAATGTATTAATAAAATAAGCCAAGAGCTGTTATTTACTGATTTTGTATTCTGTCCTAAAGGAAATACTTGTGATATATTAAGAGCAGTTCTTTCTATTTAATGCTTATGACAGAATATGTATTGTAATACTTTCCATGTAAATGAAACTTGTATGGGTTTAGATGTTACTTAAAATTTTACATAGCAGTTGAAAAGGTCTTAGAGTTGCTAACACAAGTTTTTGTATCAGTATTACCAGCTCAACACACCATCAATGCAGATGTTAGCAATTAAAAAGGAGACTTAGTATGTCCTGATTAGAACGCTCTAAGCAAAAAAGCATGGTGCAACAATTTATATAATATACCATTCATATAAAAACATACAAAATATTAAAATGTACAAAAGGATACTCAAGCTTACTGCTTTGGGGAAGAATAACTTGATGAAAGAACAGGAAAGGAGACATGTACACATAGAGCCATTACCATTTGAATTTTGTATGTATCAACTGTTCAGAAATTGTGTTTTTAGCATCTTTAAGTCCAGTGCCATATCTTTCTTGCTTATAATTCAGTGTTGTAATTTGGTGTCTAACATGTACTTTGCCTACATGTAGTATTGAAGGAATGAATCTACTTACCACACAAAGTAGCAGAAGGTAGACTAACTACTTGGTTCTATAATTTCATTCATTTTCATTAACATTTAGATACATGTGTCAGACTTAACCCGGTGCCTGGTACATTATGAGCACCCAGTGGTTCAGATGAAAAATAGTTGTGTTGGAGAACCAGAAAGGGCTATGTGAAGGAGGCAGCTGCCCGAAAAAACAGCACCTACAACGATATATGACAAAATAACCCACGTAATGCAGAGTACGTGTCCGGTCAAAGGCAGAAGGCAGCATGGGCACTGAAGAGATTGGTGAGAGGCTGAATCCAGGCTGCAGTGGACTCCCCGTGCCTTTTAAGATTCACACTAGAGGTTTTTACACGCTCAAAGGGACTGAAGAGAAAGCAAAACCAGTCAGAGCAGTAGCTGGAATTATCAAGATAGTCTTTTTTTCTATTCCATTCTTTTATCGTTTTGAAACATTTAAAACCTATCCACTTAGTATGTGCATTACCGTGTATTCTGCCTGCTGTCTTGTTCTTGGATTGTTTCCTTGCGTGCCAATGTTCAGGGAAGATTTACCTGTGAAAATCGGTGTAGTGTGCCAAACACATGTCCTTTCCTTCCCAACCTTGTACTGCCAGCACCTCCTTCCTTAGCAACTTGATAGGATAGGCAGTGTGCTCAGCCCCAGATGGTTCAGAACTGGGCTAAGAAGGTCATGACAGACCTCTTGCTTATTTTCCTAGTGTTTGCTGCAGCTAGGCATGGCCATGATGACCCAGTCCCAGCCATGAAGTTGAAAGTAGCAGCCTCTTGGGGGTGCTTCTGGAAGCCCTCTTGCTTTCTTAATAAAAGCTGTATCTGGTACTGATTTTTGTGGGTGTGTTGTGCCCATCAAGTGGTAAGAGAAATGCCAAGAATGCCACAAGGATGTTAGTCCTAACATGACCCAACAGCCACTTCCCTCCTGATATCTTATGAAAGGGAAATAAATCCCTATTTGTTTAAGCTACTGTCAAACTCGTTTTATGTTAACATAACCTTGGTTCCTCGACTGGGGTCTGCCCAAAGGCTTTCTTCCAGCTTGCTTCTACTAGGTGATGCAAACGTATTCCCAGCTTGGAACCACTTTTCATCTTAGCATGGGGATTCCTCAACCTCAAACCTGAACAAACGTAACATCCTTAGTGGGTTTTTCTTTTAAGAATCTGGAACCCAGGTAAGGAGAGGCTTATCTAGAGGAAATTTTTGCTATTGTCATTACTGCCATTTTACTGGAGTGCTCCTGGCTTTAGAGTATATTTGTTCCAACTCCCAACCTTTGAGTGTGCCCAAATCTGTCCCTACATATACAACTCTGCTAATGAAGCTGCCAGCCATGTCTGGTCAATACTCCCTTCTCATAGAGCACAGCCTTAGTGTGGCTTCTGGTCTGCATTTTTGACCCCCGATCTGTAAACATATGTATAAAAACCACAGAGGACTAAAATGTTTTCATTAACTCTGAAGTTAGAAAGTAACTTACAGAAAGCATGCAACGAGTTACACAGTAACAGGTGTATTCCCTAGGTAGGTAGGTATATAGCATTACTTTGTTTTCTACTCCATCTGAAGGTGGTTAGTCAAAAAATTAGCTTACTGCACAGAATTGGGGGGGGGGAGAATCAATAACTTGCCAGTTCAGTTTCATTACACTATTGAAAGGCATTAGGCTACCTTAAGCCACACTATTCATTTTTTTGTATTTACCCCATTAATCTTTACAAGATAGTTTTGTGTGAAAAATTAAATGTGATCACAGGAATGGTATTTTTAAATGGTTAACTTTGAAGCTCTAATGAATTCCCAGCTAGAGCAAACTGAAAAAAAAAATTAACATTTTTATCAATGTCTGTGGCTTCACTACTCTGAGTGCAAATTCACTTTTGGAAGTTTTTTTCTAAATTTAGTCTCTCTGAAGAGCAGTTGCATTTACTTACTTCTTTTGTAATTTATGTATTCTCATACTATTCCCTAGACATGGACCTAAAAGAGTTAAGTGGAAATATAAAATATTACAAAATATTGTAATGACAGAAAACTTCCAGAGAAACCCTGGACAGGACCTTCTGTGGACCACTGGTCACTTGGTCTCACCTTTCCCCCCATCTATCTCAGGTGAGCAGTTCTGTGGGCTCCAGCCAACACCAACAGCCCTCCTGCTTTCCTCCCCATGTTTGGCTTCTCCACTGACTCACTGGCAAAAGACACTGGCACTCACATGGCTAACAGATAAATGATTCTTTCCCCTTCCTTCCTGTCCTGTAAGGTTCTGTGATACTTCACTCGCAGCCTCAGGCAGTCTAAAAACACTGGCCACTATGAGGAACCAACTTCTTCATCCTTCCCAGCTTGCTGCCCCTGTTCATAGATCACCTTTCTATCAAACACTTATCCTGAGTGAAGACTTTGTTTCAGGCTCTGCCTTCTGGGGAAACCATTCTCAGACAAAGTACATGTTAGTAAGTAGGTTAATCAAGTACTGACTAGCCAAACTCTTAGGTGACTTGATCCAATTAAGAAATTACAGCCTTAAAAAACTTCAGATCTACTTTTCTTCAAAAAAAACTTTAAAAAAATAAAGGGGCTATTTAATCTATTAATTACTCCCAGATATTCTACATTCCCATTTCATTTCATAGGTGCTGAAAAACAGGCGGAGCAAACTCTTCTTTAAAGCCCCTCAGCTACATTCAGATGCAAGTTCTACCACTAGTTAGTTGCATGACCTTTAAGTAAATTGTGTGGCCTACCTCATTATTATTATATAAAGTAGGGAAAAGAACAGTACCTACCCCATAGTTTATAAATCCGATATTTTTGGTTGGACATACTAGAATTATCTTCTGATTGGATAAAAACCAGGGAAATCATCTCTTATTTTTAGAAGTTTACTAAGTTCCTCTTAAGATTATATGCTATATTACTTGGTTAACCCTGGAATCAAAGAATCACAAGCAGAATCAACAGACAAAATTTAATATATGCACACAGTTTTATATATAATGCAGCATCACACCATGTAGGGCATTTACTCTTATACATTCAGATATGTTTGAAACACTTGTTAAGGCTACAAAACAGAACATAGAAAAATAAACAGGAATATATTCAACACTTACAAAAAGTGATATGATAAAGATATAAAGTACTATTTCCTTTCAACACTTCAAAAGATATATATACTTTTTTTTTACAAGTAACATCACGAATGATCACATCTTCACATGCTTTTAAGTATTATTTGTACTCAGTGTAAGGCTATTATCATTTTTCATACTTATATTTTTTCCTAGCTCTGTAACAATGCAATTTTAATCCATTCAAGTAAATTCAACCCCAAAGTTGCTGTTTCCCAGCATTAAGTCATGCACCCACCCCTCATCTAGATTTTCTAAAATTTTATTTCAGGGGGAAAAAAAAATCCCAATTAGTGGGAGAGTAAAAGGCTGACACAAGTAGCAAAACCTTAGTTCTTTGAAACTGACATGCTGGAACTAAGCCATTATTATTAAACAATAGCATTTAGACATTAAATAAGAAGCAAAATATAGTAAACAGAAATAGTGTAGCCAAATATGCATTCTCTTCAGCTACACTAAAATGGACCTTGCTTAGTACCCACAAGTGAAAGACTATGGTTCCCTCATCTAAAACTAAAGGTAAAATAAATGAGACATAAATAAATATTGCTAGTTTCTAGGATGGCTGAATGTTTTCTAAACCAGAAGTGGTTAGAAGGAACTTTATTGCACCAAGTCAATCGTAAGCAAGTTTGCAGTTCACAGGCATTTTAGTTCAACCTTGAGTCACAAAGGAAACACAATGCAAGAATATACAGAGTCTGCATCCACTAAGCTGTCTCCGCACTGTGGTTAGGGAAAGCCTACCCCTGCCAGATCAAGGCAGGGTCTGAGCTCAGGTCAGCATGAAAGTGAAGACAGCACTTCCCAGGAAAGAGGACGAGGATTACACACATGCTAACATCCTGCTGCCAGTGAGTACATGGAGCAAGGCGTGAAAATTTATCTGAGGGGAAATGAACTTGAGGAAGAGAAATATGTACAATACTAAAAGGGACAAAAATCAAGTTTAGCAATAGCCAAAAGTAGTGGGCTTTGGTCATTCTAAACATTTGTTCTTTAAAATGTATATGATCCTAAAACGGTGAAGTTCCATAATTTCCAACTCAAAATACAAATGATTCTCACTTCTAAGCGTTTATTTTTCTCTTATATAGAAACATTATATCTCATGTCAACATACCATATGACTTAGTTAAAATGAAGGACAAAAGCTTGCTTGGCCCTAGTTTGACCTTAGCATAAGGCAAAATCTCCTAAACTAGTACATTTAAAACAGACCTAAAGCAAAAAACAGAACTGACCTTCATGCAAAGACTCCTAATTTTTAAACTAATTATCCAAAGTCAGACTCCTTTTATCCCAGAGGTCACTGAGTGAAGTACCTTCTGTAAAGTTCTCTTTCAGCACTGTTCCCACCATGTCCTGGAGGTAAACCATGGGAAACAGGAAGCAAATCAGCATGTCCTTCAGGAACCAGAGGATTCTGTTTCTCAGCTGAGGTAAGACAGTGACAGTGAAGAAATGAATAGTATTCTTTCCTATCCAATTTTTCAACATTTCCAGAAGAAACTGAGAAGATTAAATCCCAGTCAATAAAACAAAATACACTGGAAATAGCTATTTCTTTTGGACTCCTGAGTTTAAACTTACATTAAACTTTTAAATCTGGTCATAATATCTAAAGATGATTTTCATAAAAAATTATAAGCTAATCTTACATTAAAAAAGCATGAGCTGAAAGTGAAGGACCTACTAATCTCATTCCATAACTACTGATGTTAACTAAGACAAAAATGGCACCTTCCCCAAATGTTCGAGCTCAGAAGGTGACAGCAAATTCCTTTCCACGGGTTCTTTCTCAAGCATTTCTTTTCCACACAACCATCTCAGTCTTTAAAGTTTTTACCTAGCACCATCATAAAATATTATCTCTCAAAGTGCTCTCTAAAATCCTATGTTACAAAACATCTAAACACTAATCACTACTCAAATCAGCAGTTACACAGACATTAGGTAATTAAAACAACAGAGGTAAAATAACCATTATTACAGTACAGAGGAGATTCACTGAGCCTAGATGGCATCCCAAACATTCCTATGAGTTATCAGAGAACCCAGAAAACTTATCTGTTTCAGTTTGTCAAATTCAAGTGAATTGTATTTGCTTTTTAAAGTAATTTGTTTTAAAAAAATCTATTTTGCTTAGTATATAATACATGGCATGCAAAGAGAAATTACTACTTATTTGCATAGCACTCAAACTTCCTGATCAAAAGATAACATAAAAAAGGGCAGGTTTTCACATTAGTATGTACACATGAGAAATACAAGCTACAGTTATTTGTACAGTGTAACACAGATGAGTGAATACTGTGTTCATTCAGAGTCACATCTCCAACTGAGAACAGAGTGCAACATGCAAAGGGAACTTCTAGTGAAATACTGTGAAGACTGAAGGAAGCAGGATCAGACACGTTGCCCGAAGGGTAACAAGCTATGAAATGCAAAGCAAAACCGCTTTCTAGCAGCATCCTCTAGAAAAGAACTAGAAGTCACAATCGTCCTTTTTTTGTACAATAGTTTGTTCCAGCTGTGACAAATTGAACATGCAAATGTAAAGTGATACCCATAACCAATGGTGCAAAGAGAAAACGAAACACAGTAACTCTATAGAAACCTGTCAGCTAAAAATTTTTAACATTTCTTTCACAAAATATTTAAATCTGTCAGTGCATTAGTGTTAAAGTGGCATTAAAAAACTTCTGCAGTTTTAACAGATGCAGATTATTTTCAAAATGCATAGCATCTACATTTCTTTCGAGTAGGCACCATATATACACCAGTGCTAAGAATTCTTGGTGGAAACAGCCATTTCATTACATTTCCTATTACTTCTTAAATTGATCTGTTCTTGTATGCGATCTCAAGTTCAACAAATACCCAAATTCAAAAATATACCCTATTAATATTAAAAGAACTATATACAACATTTCTAAGACACAGGTTAATAGTCTGCCTTATATGTAATAGTAAAGAGAAGACATTATTCAAGTTTGACAGATATTGAGATGAAAGGCCTTTGGGTTGGAAGCATTTCAAAAGACAACAGTGTTTTAGCCTAAGAATTGTTTGAGCCCAGTTTATGACTAAGGCATTGCATAATAAAATATACATTTCTATTTGGTGCAATGTTATGTTTTGGAATCTATCATGTGTCAAATGGTATATTTTCTTGTCACTTTAGTAAACACTATAAACACACATTTCTAACATTTGAAATTAAGCTTATAAGGAAAAAACCAAACACTAAATCTATATTTATATTAAGCTGTTTATAAAAAATACTTTAACAAACTTATTTTCTTTTTATGGGGACAGTCGCCAGATAAATAAACAGATTTTGAACGAAGAAAAATGGCAATGCCAGGAATTCACCTGCCCCTTTAAACAGCCAGCCAAAATCTCTTGTCCAGAATAGGAGTCGAGGGTGAAGGGGGAGGGGAGGAGATGGTTCCGATTTGGGTTTTTATTTTAATGTATTTTTTTAAAGCCTTTAGAAACATTTCACCCAAGAAAAGGTGTCTGCTCTAACATCCTGCAGAGACAGATATCAGGAGTGTTGTCCCCGATGGCCATCTCCCATCCCTGACCGCCTCCTATCCCCCCTGTAGGGCCGTCCTCTGCCGTTTCGATGGTACTGATAGCCTTCATCTCGGCTTCTGCTGGGCTGCCCTTTCCAGGACTCCTCGCCTCGTGCGTGCTGATACCCTCCCCTACCAGAATAGCCCCAATCGCTTTTGAACTTCCTGCCTCCATACGTCTGATTATAGAACTGCTTGGATCTACCACTTCTCAAAATATTAGAAACCTCATTCTCATCTTCTGAACTCTCTTCTTTTGGTCTCTGCAGTCTGCCATCCACAGAGTTGGCCCCACTGACCACATCAGCAGCAGTCTTAGGATCTTTCACTTTTTCTGGTTTTTCTTTCAGACTTGGAATGGTCCTTTTAGGCTCATCAGGTTCAACAGGCACAGCTTCTCTCTCTCTGTTTAGATTCTGAGTGGGGGGATGAGCCTTTCCTTCTGCGACAGCAGGGAGGGCAGCCAAAGCCGGCTCTGCCTTAGGTGTCTGGGACGACTGCTCTGCCCGGCCTTCATGCTCACTCACACCTGCTTCAGGGAGAGGGTGCTGTGTGTCTTCACACCTATTCTCCTGAAACTCATCTACTGTTGGGACTGAACCACACTGTTTAGACAGATCCAGATTCTCCAGGGGTAGATCCAATTCTCCTTTCTCATCAGAAGGCAGAACAATATTCTGCCTCATCACTGGATTTTCTATGAATCCTTGAAAAGGGTACCCATACCACACATGAGGAAAGAAAGGAGGTGCAATGGGAACTGGGCCTAAGAATGGATTAGGTCCAAAGGACGGTTGTGGAAACATATTCTTGCCACTTAGTGACTCTTCATATTCCGCATGAAGAAGCTGCCCGGAGTTTTCAGATTCAAGATCAGCCTGGTAAGACAACTGTCCATGACCTTCAGACACCTGAGATGGAGGGATAACCAGAGGTGAAGAAAATGTCGGCGGTCCAATCTCTGCCTGTGGCATCTGACCATTAACATTGGCCTCAGTCTGCATAGGAAAGTGTGCATCGGTACAGGTACAATCACTTTCATTCTGAGCAGAAGGAGCTTCTTGGAACCAAGGATTTTGAGGATACACAGGGACAGGGACCTTTGGGTACATCCTGCAGGCTGCCAGGTATGCCTGGTGCAGAGGATACAGGTAAGAATGTGGGGCCCACATAGGACAACTATATGCCTAAAAGAGAGAAAAAACAGTTATAATAAACAAAAAGAGGGTTAAGGAAGTTTAGAGTGGGCACAACATAAGTTTCTTATGCCTGCAAAGACCATATAATCTGCAGTCCAAATATTATATCATGGAGACTCAGTATGAAAAGGCATTACAAATTAAGTCACTGCTCTAAAACTCCATTCCTTGTCCTATCCTGAAACCAATCCAACGTCCTGTATAGATGTTGAGAGACAATATAATGAACCCACTCACAGATTATCATGGCTATTCATTTCATCCTTTGGATATAACTTCATGGAAATAATTGTGAGTGCCAAGCAACAACTAGAACAGGAACAGAACCACAGAAAGGGAGATCACATGGAGGGTTAGCAACAGGGGAGTGGGAGGAGGAGAGAGGGGGAAAAGGTACAGAGAATAAGTAGCATAGATGGTAGGTAGAAAATAGGAGGAGGGCAAGAATAGTATGGGAAATGTAGAAGCTGAAGAACTTATGACACATGGACATGAACTAAAGGGGGGGAATGTGGGTGGGAGAGGGTGTACAGACAGGGTGGAGGGGAATGAAGGGGGGTAATGGGACAACTGTAACAGCATAATCAATAAGATATTAAAAAAAAGAAAGAAAGAAATAATTGTGAGTGATACAGACAGATCTCAAAAACCACCACGAGCAACCACTTGTACCTCCAGCTTGCAGTATCACAATCACTGGCTCTTTAGCTTGACCTACATTTGTGTTCTGGCCCTACCACTAGCTCTTCCTGTGACCCCCTGCCAACTCGCTAACTGGTCTGGCCCTGGACTACCAGAAAAATGTTGGTATAGGAGTGTAGATGACCCCCAAGGTTAGGATCCCATAGTTCCAGGAGACCGCAGAGCATTGCACAAAGATAAAAGCCTCCTAATCAGACAACGGTAATACTGAAAATGAAGTATGCCAAATCCCTTCCCTATGAAGGATCTGGAAAATACCAAAAAACACACAACTAACTGACCGATTTCACTAAAAGCCAACATTAACTAGGTGAATATAAAATTAGGCAATGAAATACAGTAGATGGTGAAATTAACCAAGCCTCCTTTTATGAACTGGTCAGGGGCCTACAGCAGGGCACTTCGTTTCACATTTTAACAGCTAGGACCTACAAAATCTAATCCAAGGCAGGAGGGAGCACAGCACTGAATGACAAGGACACAGAATGGGCCAGCCTCTCTAAGACAAGCTACTTTTCGGCTGACTGCTTCCCAGAGGATACCTCTTTTCCACTAGTGACCACCCCACCTTCCACAGGAGTACTTTCCACATGATATTCATTTGATCCTTTCAACAACTGAGGCAGGTAGAAGAATGCTATCCCCATTACATAAATGGAAAAAGCGAGGCTCAGATACATTGAATGAGTCATCCAGGCTCTACATCTAAAAAGTGATGGAGCAGAACTTCAAACCCAGAGGGCTCACTTAACCCCCGACCGAAGGCATTTCCACCAGGCTGCCCAGGGACAGGACTATCTCCTGCGTATACTCACAGGGCTCAATCACTGACCTTAATTAAGGGAGAGCAGGCAAAAACTTGGAGCCTCAACCACTACCAAAAACAAACATACTACACAGCCCTGAAAATGCCAGTGCTTAAAATAGTGCAATTTAGTGAACCTTAGGTTATTTATTGATAGAATAGTAGTAATTTGAAACTGTTAACTTACTAAAAATAACTTTAAAATGATAAAAACATAAATACCTTTACACCAAGATTAAAGAAGAATCGAAGAATGTTCTTATCTGAAAACAAATAACGTAATAATCACTCACTAAAATTATACAAACACATTTTTCATTATTTTCAAACAATATGTAATTCTAAAGACAATTTTACCTACTGGAATTGTTTTCTCTAGCCTGTGATGTAAAACATAGATTAAAAATCATAATATATTCAAAACCAGGATCTATTTCCATAGTAATTCCAGGTTCAAAAGGTTTTTGTCTATCAAATCCCAAAATACCTTAAATTGAGATTTTTAAAAAATCTGATTTAAATTTGTATGAAAGAAACTCAGGTGTTCCCTGTATTTCTTTTCAATTTCTCTGTGGGGTTTAAAATATTATGAAATAAAAATGTCGAGGGTTAAGAGTAAAATCAATATAAACCTAACTCATTAATAAGACTAACAGGATCATATCGGCTAAGGTATTCATTTGACATTAAGCCAGTTACCCATACACTCAAACATCAAGCTATGACTAATGAAATTATCAACAAAATTCAGGTAAAGTGCATACAGATCATATAGTTATTGTATTACTTTACCTACAAACAGGAAATTCTGCAACTAAAATTCCTTTATAGAGAAGGGGACAAATGCAGCAGTAAAAAAGAAGAAACTCTTACATTTTACAACAGCAATGGATGAACCTTGAGAACATTATGCTAATTGAATCAAGCCAGTCAGTGAAAGAAAAATACCACATGATCTCGTATGTGGAATCTCATGAACACAATAAAGTAACAAACAAGATAATAACAGAAGCTTAGATACACAGAACAGACTGACAGCTGCCAAAAAAGAGGGTAGGGGGACTGGCTGAAAGACTGGGAAGGGATTAATCAAAGATGATGTTTACACAAAGATGACTGGCTTGCGGGGATGGGAGGGGGCTGGGGACAAAAGTGGGAACAACTGTAACAGCTTAAATAATAATATAAATAAATGGGAGGGAAGGAGGGAGAAAATTTAAATTCTTTAAAAATTATACATTATTGCATGCAGTAGTACTATGTATGACAGCTCTCCTGCATTATATTCATCCCTGGTAATTTTTTCATGAAGCAGTATAAGTAGTGATGAGAAAACTCAGTAAATGTTTAGTTATCTGGTTATTAACACTATTAAGATTTAATTCAAAATGGATTTAGGCTGTTTTTGAAAAAAATATGGGGGGGGGGGCCACGGGTACAGCCACTAAACATATGAAAAACATAATCCAATCAAACACAAGGTGAAAAAGACAGTGAGTAACTAATGGCCAAGGCCAAACCTCTGCTGTCCTTCCCAAGTAAGTCCTTTGGCTGACTTGGTAACATGCCCTCTGGCCTCTGCTGACATTTCTCAGTGAATCTCTATCAGTACTTGATAAAGAAAATCAATATGAACTTGGAGAAGAATCTCACCTTTAGGCAGGTCCTCCCCAGTGTGACACAGTGAATAAGGTGGTGCAATGGCTCGATCTCCCTTTTCATTACAAGGAAACCCAGGATAGAGTGGGTCCTGGTAAAGGCTCAGTGTCTGAGGCAAAGGCATCAAGGGCTGGTTAACTGCCTGTATTGACACAGGAACTGGAGAGGGTGTTAAATGAGCTTGGGACACAGCAGAATCAGGTCCAGTGGTGAGAGTCTGTGTCACTGATAAAACAGGGATTTGAGCAGGGACACCTATAAGAAAAAGGGAAAGGAATCAAAAACTATAAAATGGTGAAAATAATTTCTACAAAAATAAGTTTACATTTAGGTAAAAAGTAAAGAATCATGTACAAATGCAGCATACTTAAGCAGTATAAAGAAACTTTTTATATTAATCAAGGACCCTCCCTGGACACCCAGGAGAAAAGGAGGCCAGGAAACAAGCTTTGCATCAATATCATCTAACAGCAGCTCCCATTAACATACACAGACAGAGCCTGGCAAAGGGCTGCAGGGGTGGGGAGGTGTCATAAGGAGCTGGTTTATGGGGAATGCAAACTGTGGTGTCAGTGCTGAGCAACCAGAACCACCAAAGCAACCAGTGGAGATAACCAGCTCTGATATCTTGCTCCCGGGATGCTGAGGGCAGCTCTGAAAGGAACAGCAAATGAAGGGGGCTCTCCCACACTGGAAGCAGAGCAAAGCAGAGAGGACCACAAAAAGCTCTGAGGCTCCACACATCTAACCCAACTCTGAGATCAAGCTCTTGCTCAAGAATTTGAAGTCTCTGACTTGGAAGGCTTGTGTTGGATGGTTCACTGGATTTCTAAAATTCTTATCTAACCTGTTGGTCCAAAAGATGTAGGTTCACTTGGCCAGGCTGGCACAGTGGCTGGTAAAGAAGGCACCGCAGGAGTTAGATGTACCTCTGGAGAAACCAGAAGGGGAGCTGGACTTGACAAAGACACATGTTCTGCTGGCTTCTTCAAGAAGAGGGGGTGGAAAAAGAGAAGTTCATTTTAACCAAATGAACCATGAAGTGCCTACCTGTTATAAAACTGCAATTTCTATATAAATGGTCTTTCTGGTCTTATAAAGAAAAAACACAATTGCTAAAAATTTCACACAAATTTGATCCTAACCAGGGATTGCCCTCCGTAAGTCACAGAAGTCACTGGTCAAGTCAGAAACAACCTCAAAAGGAACTTGAACCCAATGCTAAATCTGAAAGGCAAGGAAGCAAAATCATTGAAATCACCATAAATTCATCAGTTACTTAGAGGAGCACCTCACACACAGACATATCACAAAACTACATGCTCTCTAAGCGACATAAAGGATGCTAACTGAAAGTCAAGGGCTAAGCCCTTTCCCACTCCTGTTAGATCAAGAATCAAAATGTCTGCTGGGACTCAGGTGCCTTCATTGTTAAATTTGTAAGTTGGCAGATGGAGTTGGTCGGAAGGTTGTGGGTTATCGTTAAGCTGTTTAAACTGATTAAATTTATAAGTTGGTGGTATTGCTCTTTAAATGTTTATTTTTCTAATCTCTTCATTACAGTCTAATCATTATATTCCCTACCTTCTATAAAATAATTGTTAAGGATGCAAACAACTCAAAAGTTTTGAAATGAACTAGGAATTATTAATTTCCCATCAAAAATCTAACTGTCAAGCTACCCCATCACAAAGGTAACTAACACAAGGCACCAAATAAAAACATTCAAAAATCAATTCAGAAGAATGAACTTCTATGCCCAAAAAATGGTGAATATAAAAATTATACCCCATAAAAACAGAACATTGTAAACAGAATTATAAAAATCATAGCCAAATCATAGTACAAATCACAATTTGTACCCAAATTATGATGCTAAAATGTATCCTCCCATTTCCTATGCAGATGTTTAGTTCTGAAGTGATCACATACAGCTCTAAGACACCCAGAGATCGAGTCCTCCAGATCAATGCCACAATGCACTTACTTGTTCTGCAGGAGGTGGGCACTCTAATTTCTTTGACTTTGATGGTGATGAAATTCTTGTACATTTATCATCACTAACATTCTTTGGAAGAAAAAAAAAGAGAGTGCATAATTTTGTATTCCAAAGACCCATCTTCTGGAATCAAGTTGCCTTTATAGTTTGCCCTATCTGTGCCTGATTGAACCCTATCAACTGGCTTTATTTTTTCTCCAATTACATCTGGTTGGTCCTCAACAGATAAGTAACTCTGCCTGCACATCTTTATCCTATCAAACTACTGGGGCATTTTTATTGGGGACATGTTGCAAAGAGCACACCCTTCCTTTAAAAATCTCAATCTGCTACAGAGTACTGGAAAGTAAAAGGTACTTTCCACCAATTCAGACAGGTCCTCATACCGTGCCCTAGAGGAAATGGTTACAATTTGTGAGTGAATTCTTCTTAAGCACTACCATCATTTCCCCTTTTTTCTCTACTTTTCCACTTCCCCAACAGTTATAAAATGATGAAGTCACCAACATTATCTCCTTCTGCTTCTACCTGCTATATTATCACAGTGTTAAGGAAAATGAAAAGATGCAATCAGTATTCATGTCTACCTCCAATGTGCTTGGCCCAGGCTTCTTATCCAGGTGAGTATGTCCATGGCTCAAGTCTGTAACAGATCCAGATAAAAAAAAGATGGCCATCAGCCACTAGTCAGGTTTGAAGTCAGAAAAAGAAAACACAAAGATAGAAAATCCAAAAGCACTATTTGAATCATGTTTAGTCAGTGAAAAATACAGTTTTCACAATAACACTGAACTCATGTTTACATGCTTTAGCTTGCATTAGTTTCTTTGCAACAGTGAGACATGTGACATTAAACTGCTTCATGATTTTAAACGGGTTCTTTTCCCAATGGAAACCAGACACAGATCTCTAGCATTTGCTTTCAAATGATGAAGTAACGTACCTTTATCTTTTCGTTCTTCAGTATCCATTCTCCGCCGGCTTCCTTTTCTATCACTCGCGTGTGATGACTTCCTCGGGACACATGGGTTGCTACTCTGAGAAGATGACTGACTGACTGATGAGCTCTTCAAATGAACAAAACCCAATACTTTGTGTTTAAGACCCATAAACACACTCTTCATACATCTAAGTCTCAAAATTCATAGCCCTGTATCTTTCTACTTCTAGAACTTCAAAAAATAGGACCTATGGTTCATATTTAATTATATACTCTACAGTTATAGGCTTATTAATAACTAGAAGCAATCAGACCTTTGGTCATAGACCGATTTCAGGAGGCCACCCTGACCTTACACTTATGTTCTTTGCACAAAAAACAGCACCCCTCATACTAACCTTTAAAAACGGCCACTGCAGAGCCACAGTCCTTTCTGGGGGAAGCACCAATGTGCAAATTTGCAGATACAGTGCACTAGGGTTATCACTGAAATACTACTGTCAACTAATCACGTAAGCTCTGCATGAGATCCAACCTTCTCACTGGTTTGAGAAAGGGACTGGGAGAGATTGAGTTTTTAAGCTAAATTACCACTTAAGGTCATCCTCTCCTGGTCCGGCACTCTGAGCAAATGCTGCCCAGAGCTGAGAAGGGGATCTCAGCCCCATGGCATGAGTTTTCTAGAAGACAAGACATGATTCAGATTATCTATCTAAAAGTGATGAGTATGGCCCTGGCCAGGTGGCTCAGTTGGTCGGAGCATCGTCCCATACACCGAAAGGCTGTGGGTTCAACTCCTGGTCAGGGCACATACCTAGGTTTCGGGTTCAATCCCTTGTCAGGCCAAGATCAGGGGGTAACCAATCAATGTTTCTTTCTCATGTCAGTGTTTCTCTCTCTCTCCTTTCCTCTCTCTCTATAATCAGTTTTAAAAAAACATATCCTGAAGTGAGGATTAAAATATATATATATTTTTTTTAATTTTAAATAAAGTAAAAATAATGAGTATGACTCCATTTTACCAAAAAATTACAAAATCTATCCCCGTATTATTACAGTAGTTGTGCTCTTCCATTCACTAACTGAAAAAGGACAAACAGCTCTGAGTGCTAGCTTAAATGATTTCTGTTTTCTAAGTACTATAGTAAAATAACACATTACATAAAGGTAGTCTAAAAATTACCCTCAGTCTAAAAATTAGTAATCTACCCTTAGAAACTATGGTTTAATATAGAAACTGCAGCTGACACTTCGACAGCATGGGGGTCAGGGATGCCAACCCTCCCACACAATTAAAAACCTGCGTGTAATTTTTAACTCCCCCAAAACCAGTCACAGGTGTCCCTCTGTATCCACAGGGGATTTGTTCTAGGACCTCAAACAGATTATAAAATCCACAGATGCTCAAATTCCTTCCAGAAAATGATATAAAAGAATGCACAGTCAGCCCTCTGCATCCACAGATTCTGCGACTGGTTGAATCTGCAGATGCAAAATCCGAGGATTCGAAAGGCTCACTACATTTACTGGAAAAAATCTGTAAATAAGTAGCCCCACACAATTCAAATGAGTTGTTCAAGGGACAAGTGTATATTAAAAAGAGATTCCTAACCAATAACTTTTAAAATCTTTTTATACATACGGAAAGGGCTGGGAAAGCGTGTTCGTCTCGGTTTTGAATCTCATAAAGTAACCGAGACTCTTCTATAGCTTGTTTCTCTCTGCGCTCTTCTGGGGAGAGGCCAAAATAGTTAGATTCTCGACTGGCATGATCAAAGTCCTCAGCTCTCTCACGATCAGATTTTCTGTCAAATAAAACATTCTTGTCACAAGAAAGACAACAAATGTATTGAATACATTCAACAAAATAACCTGTTTTGCCAATAAAAATATTTAATTTAACTACACCATGACATTATAGAACTTTTGGCAACCTGATTAATAAATGTTTAGCAACTTCCGGCAAGATGGGGGAATAGGTGGACGCACCGCACCTCCTCGCACAACCAAGATTAGAACAACAACAATTTACAGCCAGAATAACACCCAGAACTGACAGGATTTATCTGAATGGAAGTCGGACAGCCAAGAAGTTGAAGTAGACCCGTACATCCAGACTGGCAGGAGAGGACGAGCCGGGCGGGCGCGGTCGGCGGCGCGCAGAGGTCGGGGAAAACTTGGCGAGAACTCGGCGCGAGGGCCATCCAGGGTGCGCAAGAACGCAGCGGTGGTCCCTGAGTACACGAGCTGCGGCTGGCGGACCCAGTGAGGCGGGGATTGTGGACCAGGGCAGAGCTCGCAGCCCAGGATCCCAAGGAAGGAACTGTGGTCTCAGGAGAACGGAACTGCCGCCATTGTTCCCGCCCACACATGCAACGTCACAATCTAGCGACTGGAGTGCCAAGCCCCAGAAAACACCTAAGGCTCCGCCCCTCACCGTAACAGGAACAACCAAACCAAAAAAAAGAAAGAAAGAGAGAGAGAGAGAGAGAGAGAGAGAGAAACATGTATCAAGCAGAAAAATGGATAAATGTCCCAGGGCTCATCCTTTTGAGCGACCAAGAAATAGCCAATCTATCAGATGCACAGTTCAAAACACTGGTGATCAGGAAGCTCACAGAATTGGTTGATTTTGAGCGAAAATTACATGAAAAAATGCAGGTTACCATAAAAGAGATGAAGGAAGATGCACAGAGAACCAATAGTGTTGGAAAGGAAACTGGGACTCAAAACAATAGAGTGGACCAGAAGGAAGAAAAAAAGAACCAAACAGGAAAGAATGAAGAAATAAGAATTCAAAAAAACAAGGAGAAGCTTAGGAACCTCCAAGGACATCTTTAAACGTTCCAACATCCGAATTATAGGGGTACCAGAAGGGGAAGAGGAAAAGCAACAGATTGAACACGTATTTGAACAAATAATAACAGAGAACTTCCCCATTCTGGCAAAGGAAATAGACGTCCAGGAAATCCAAGAAGCTCAGAGAGCCCCAAAGAAGGTGGACCCAAGAAGAAACACACCAAGGCACATCATAATTACATTAGCCAAGGTAAAAACAAAGGAGCGAATCCTAGAAGCAGCAGGAGATAAGGGGACAGTAACCTACAAAGGAGTTCCCATCAGACTGTCAGCTGATTTATCAAAAGAGACCTTATAGGCAAGAAGGGGCTGGAAAGAAATATTCCAAGTCATGAAAGACAAGGACCTACATCCCAGAACACTTTATCCAGCAAAGCTTTCATTTAGAATGGAAGGGCAGATAAAGTGCTTCTCAGATAAGGTCAAGTTAAAGGAGTTCATCATCACCAAGCCCTTATTTTATGAAATGTTAAAGGGACTTATCTAAGAAAAGAAGATAAAAAAAAACATGTATAGTAAAAGGACAGCAAACTCACAATTATTAACAACCACACTTAAAACCAAAAGAAACTAAGCGAACAACTAGAACAGGAACAGAACCGCAGAAATGGAGATGACATGGAGGGTTAGCAACAGGGGAGTGGGAGGAGAAGAGAGGGGGGAAAAGGTACAGAGAATAAGTAGCATAGATTGTAGGTTGAAAATAGATACGGGGAGGGTAAGGATAGTATGGGAAATGTAGAAGCTAAAGAACTTATAAGTATGACACATGGACATGACTAAAGGGGGGGATATGGGTGGGAGAGGGTATACAGGGTAGAGGAGACTGAAGGGGGGAAATGGGACAACTATAATAGCATAATCAATAAAATATATTAAAAAAAGAAGTTAATTTGGCACAATATTTATCTTTTTAAAAAGTTTCATTAAATGACTAATTAAAACTTCAACAACAACAACAAAAAACACAAAGAAAGTCAGACCTCTAAGGTACTTTGCCTGCATTGAATAAGATGCCACCAGATGCTAGTGGAATCTGGTCAACATCCAAGGAGACTTCAGCCATAAGTGGTTGATGAATGGCACAAACTGTCTGTTGGGAGAGGTCAGCCACCATGGGCCTTGAATGCCCCTGCACGCCACAGACTGTGGGCAACAGCAGAAGCAGGAGAGGGGCATGGAACAGATTCTACCCTAGAACCCTCAGAGAGCGCATGGCCCTACTGACAACTTGATTTCAGACTTCTAGCTTCCAGACTTTTAATAGAATAAGTTTCTGTTGTTTTAGGTCACCGAGTCTGTGGTATCTTGCTACAACTGCAGGAAACTAACACAGTATTGGTAACATATAGCCTAAGAACCTACAAGTGTCTTCAAGATGTTATGTTACAAAGTGTTAAGTACATGACAAGTGTTATGTTAAGAAAGGGAAAATGATCAAATGCAAGAAATAAAGTAACTGAAGACCAGAGCTTGGCAAGCACATAAGCTGATGGTACAGCTAGCTGTTCAGAGAGCTGGAGAAAGGCATTGGTCATCGTAACCTTGGAGGACTCCAGCATCCACAGTAGACATGGCCAAGTTCACGTGAAAAGGACAGCCTACACTTAAGATACACTCTCTCAAATGAAGCTCCTACGAAGGGTTACAAAATACTCCATGGAAGGGAGACTAGGGCAAAAAATTTAAAAAATCCACAGCACAGGAAATTATGATCCTAAAGTTCATTTATATCTGGATATTCAGTCAAAATGCTGATATTTATGATTACATGAACCTAAAACTTATAGCTCCATTCAGTATTAGACACATTAATACAAACAATGTAAATTTAGAATAAAGTAAACCAAACATTTTGACTAATATAAGTTCCTACGTAAAGGAAAACACCCTCACCTTCCAGGAAGTTAGAAATGCAATTTAAAATTCAGTATTTAAAACATACTATATTACAAGCTACCAGAAAACTATTAAGTGCCAGCATATGATTTGGCTAGGGTAAGATCTCCCAAATCATTTGAAAAAAACGCATTCAAAAATAAATATGACTACTCTACAGAGTTACTTTGATTTGTTTAAAGAGAATTATGAAGAACTGAAATCCTTACAAAGTATTTTACCAATGCTTTTAATATTATTCTGTAACTAAAAGCAGGTAATGTGACACATGAAAGAAATGCCCCTCCCTTAATGTCCAGTCTGTTGCCTTCAGGGAGGTTACCTTATGATCTGCAAGGGTGTCCTGCTAAGATTTTTGTGCTCACTGGAGGGTTTCTGGGACTGGGACCCTGCAGAGTGACCAGAAAACGCATGCTGTCTTAGTCCCGAAGGGTGCTGGAGTCGAGGAGGTAGTGCTGATGGGGCTTTTACTGGCTTGCTTGAATTCTTTGGCCCTCTGTAATCTGTATCTGTGACAAGAAGCCAAAAACACCTCATAATTTTCCTATAATGAACAACCCCATGTACCATCATCCCTCCCCTCAAAAAAATAACATGATGTGCTCCTACCAGAATGGAAATTTTGTCCAGAAGGGGAAGGTTTTTTCATCTTTTTCCCTGACACTGTGTTCCAGCTTTCTGAAGGAGGTGGCTTGAGGTTCTTCGGCGAGTGTCTTCAAAAGGAAGGAAAAGACTTATAATCATACTTAAGTACTCAGCGTAACAATTTTATTCGCAAATTAGATAAGATTTTAGTTTTAATTCTTATATTAAAAACAAATTAAATTACAAAGTCATTTAGCAATCCAGATATAATTCTAATCAAACAAGGTAACATAAACCAAAAGCATATTTTCTAACCTAAAAAACCCGAAGATTAAAAGCCGTTAAATCACGATCCAAGCACGGGATTAAAGGAATGACCGCTATCTGTCAGATGTGACAATGGTACTGTCGTTCAGGTGGGGGAAGGAAGGGGTCCTCGCTGTGCTAGAGACTCACAAAAGCATCTAAATGTCTATGTGAAGTAGTGTAATGTCTGAAAGTTTTTGAAATAGTTTCTATTTCCATGTTTAAAAAGGATTGGTGAGAACAGATTAGAAAAGATTGCCAAGGGCAGTCAACTGCTGAATCAGGGTTATGGTATGTTGGGGTTCACTGCACTAAGCTCCTTATATATGACTGAAACTTTCCATAGTAAAGTTTAGGTGTGACTTACTACTGTTACCTCTAATAAAGGCAGCAGCAACTGAAATAAAAGGTGCTGTAAACTAACACTGTAAGTCAACCATAAAATTCTACTCCATCTGACATCTACTTAAAGCTAACTATATGCAATGCAGTACTGAGTGATACCAGAAATGCATATGGTCCTTATTCTCCAAAGCTCCCACTTTACAGGTACAATACAGTCAATTTCCCCAAACTGCCTTTGTAAAGAATGGCACGTTTTAAACCGTAACCAAGTTTTTTTTTTATTTTAAAATGTCATCATATGAAACACTAAACGTGAATTCAAACTATTTTTCAAAAGATCTAAACAACTTTATTTTTCTACACATAGGCAACACTTTTAATTGAATTGCAGATACACAAAGCCCTTTAGAAATGCTCATGATTACATTAGGCTAAGTGGAAATGACAGTAAATGCCTTCATTGAAGGGCAGTACATACTTCTTTCCAACTTCTTCAACCGAAAGTGGTCCGTTCTCGGAGTGAACACCTTGAAGGTCGGCATTAGAAAACTTCCCATTGTGATCCAACCTAACCTGTTGAACAATTCCAGAAAGTTCAACCACCTGCTTCCTTGCATTAATGATCAGTTTTCAACTTTTATTTTGTTTCCAATGAAAAAGAATAACATGTATACCATAAACACAAAACTCATTTCAAAAGGGTATATTTGTATACCTGTCTCTGTATTATGTACCTCTCTACCTAAAATACTTGTTTACCCTTCCAAAATTGTTCTAAATTATTTTTCTAAATAGTTCAAGAAGTAGGAGTGCAATCTATTAAGGCTCCAAACAAGAAAGACACCTTTTCCTGATCCTGAACTCAAGGCTGTGGCACAGTATACCCCAGGACTCCAGAACTGGCATTTCTACTTACCCGCAGTTTGACCTTGCAAGTTACTTCTCATACTTCAGCGTCATCATATGCAAAATAAGGCTAATAATAATACCAAAGTCACAGGACACATGCAGATGGAATGAGGTAAATACATGTGCTCCTCATATATATGATAAATGAGGAACACAAGAATAACTATTGTAATTATGATCATCTCAGTTTTCCAGTATTTAAAATGTTTGACTATGACCTTTCTTCTCCCTAAAAATAGATCCATTATCTGTATTCTAACATACAACTGGCATTTTCCAAGAGCAATTGTGAGTAAGCCCTGGGGTTTCTTTCTGTAGTCAAACAACACACACTGAACAGGGCACCTGCCTGACTGCACTAGGAACACTAGGAGCACCAGGAGCACCAGGAGCAGCATCAGGAATCCAAAGCCCCATGCAGCAGGGCTCAGAGTCCTCTCCTACTTGTATTAGTAGATAAAAGTCCTCAAGTTAAGGTGTCCTTCTTTATCAATCACAATAGCTTGCCTCTCTTCAAGAGCTTAACAATAAAAGATTTTTCTGAAGTTGATTTTTATCAAAAGTTTAAACTGTAACTTATATGCTTACTTGAGTAAACAAGTCATCTTTGAGTCCTAGCAGTTTTCATAGTAAAATTTCAATTAAATTTTATCCAAGTAAAAGTCAAGTAGTAGAAATTAGAAACAAAATACTCTAAAAAGGAAAAAACTAAAACAAGTACCTACTTTACCAACTACTTTATCAACAGCATCTGTTTTACCAAAAGCAAATGCAACCTCAAAGGAAATACACTTGATTTGAAATAACAAGTAACACAGCTTTAGTGATGCAGCGAAAGATAAGCAATCTTATCTTCTATTAAGGGGAAGGAGGAGGAGGGAAGCTCTAGGCCCTGGTTTTACTTTTGTTCCCTTCCAAACTGTCCAAAGATTCCACAGTTCTGTTCTATAATTAAAGCAAGTTTCTGACAATCTGGTAAGGAAGAACCTAAATGAATCATATCCTCTTCTTCCTCTCCTTTCACATACCTCAGAATCAGAACACTATTTAAAGTTCTCAAAAGTGCAGATACAATCCTAGTCAATCAGACAGTTTTCACAAACCACTTTGTCACAAAGGAAATGAGTGTTTCCCCCATAAGTCAAGAAGAAACGTTTGTCAATGCCTATTTTAAGGTAGTTTTTAAAAGGCAACACGATGAGAACCATTTTGAGGCAATTCCAACTAATTTTTGCGTATGTGGAATGTTTTTATTTTGGAAATAGCATTTTTATCATTAACAAAGAACAGAAAAGGGACTTTGGAAATTACCTAGATAGAAAAATCTATCTAGCCTTGGCATTTTGGACACTGGACCAGATAATTCTTTGTCGTGCATGTTTGGGGGAGTGGAGTTCCTGTACACTAAAGGACATTCAGCAGTATGCCTGGCCTCCATCCACTAGATGTGAGTAGCACCTTCTCAGTTGTGAAACAAAAAAACATCTGAAGACACTGCTAAGCAGGGGTAAGGGGGGGGAGGAACCACTCCAAGTCAAGGTCTAATACAACTTCCTCTTTTATTAATCACCTACTTAAGACCAGAACAGTAGCTTACTCAAAGTAAAGAGTAAAACTCCTCTTGTTGTTCACCTTCCTTTCTTAATCCAACAGAAAAGCACTATGTACCTCTCAATCTTCCAAGATGACTTTTATAAACAAAGTAAAAATTGACCTCTAATGTCAAGCTTGAACAAATCATACATTATTTGCCAAATGTAATGGAAATATCTAGAAATCTAAAATGTTACTGTTACTTCTCTGAAGCAAGTAATATCAAGGATTATTTTTTAAAGACCATCTGATGGGATGCCATGGTTGTAGATATATACAATTTTAGTAATGCATTCAAATGAGTCAAAACATTAAATATTTAAAACTATTAAAATGTATACCTGAAAAAATATATTCTGAAATCCGAAATTAACAACATATTCAAACTTGATCTGTCCTCAATTCCTATTTTAATAAATAATATTTCAAATAAAATCTGTCCTTCTGTACGATCACTTACTTGGCATTTATCCCCCACTTCATACTGTAAGCCAGCAGCAATGGAATAGTCACGTTTCTGTTGAGCTGTAAACAATATTTGTATAAAATCAAGTTGATTTAATTATTTTCAAGTGCCACAAAGTAAATTTATGAAAAACACAGATTTTTAACTCACCTTGTTTAGACTTCAGCCAAATTTCATATTCCACATTTCTATAAACTGCTGGATTGAGTGACTTAAGAACCTTTCTAGACAAAGGAAGGCTTGGAGAGTTCCCACTGTTTTTCTGGTGCTAAACAAAGCCAGGGAGTCCAATCAACACAAACATGCTTGTAAAACATTTTTTTGAGGTATGTATAATAAATAAAACCAAAAGAAGAAAGCTTCAACAATTAAGATATTGCTGAAAAATTTCTTACAAGTAGATACTCCTGACTCTATTGAAAATGTACCAGAAAGAAAAAATTAAAAAAAAAAAAACAGAAATAAAAAAATGTACCAGAAAGAGGGAAAAATTAAGACTATAATTAAATAAGCTCTTGTATCAAAGAGCTTATTTAGAACAAGAACAAGTATCAAAAGACAAGTTAAAGAACAAAGAACAAGTATCAAAGAACAAGTTAAAACTATTAGAAAAAAAATACCTGATCACTTGACAAAACTTTAAATCCATTCACATCATTAGTAGCAGTTATTTTACTCCTACAAAGGAAAAAATATAAACATAATTAAGAGTATGAAATTAACTTATTCAACATGCAATTAACTTACATCAAAAGTCAAGAGTTATATACCAAAGTCAAGCTATAGCTATATTCCAATGAGCTCATACAAGTTTTAGTAAAGTGTATGAGTGTGCAAGTGTGTGTGTGTGACATATAACATATAAGTCAAAGACTTTTATCAGTAATTCTTACTGACCCGATCAGCAAGAAAACAGAAACAAACTTTAATTTGGGTGGATAGAGTAAGAGTTCATAAAACATTCAATGCATAAATAAGGACCCATTACCCAAAATATTCTAGTACAAGAAGATGTACAATCTAGTGAGAGTAGATACAAACTACAATCAACCAGTACACTAAATGCTAATAAGTGCTACCAGGGGAGGAGGGGTAAAATCAAATGGCAGTGTTGAGTCACAGACTCAATAAAAAGTGGGATGATGAAAGAACTTGCTGAGAGGTCTTTTTAAACACAGAATTAAAGGTAATGAGACAGCAAACCTTATGGCTATTTAGTACTTCAGGTAGAGGGGACAAGTCAGCGAGTACAAAGACCCTTGGGTAGCCAAGAGGTAGCAAGGTGGATCACAGTGATAGCAAGTAAAGTGGGAGATGAGGTGAGAAGTCACCTGTACTCTTCTGTCCTACACTCCTAAATAAATCAATCTCTAGTCTTCAGGACAATTTCCAAGTCTATATCCTTAAATGCAGCAATCTTTAAGACACCCCAAGACTAGAGTCTAGACTAAAAAAAGCACACATAATTTCCAGTACTTCAACACTGACCAATGTGAATGCAAAAAGAATCCAGGCACAAGAATATAATGACATCCTTGGTCTTTCCTCTTTATTATCACACCATGCCTACCTATCATACCATGAATATGTAACATTCTTCCCTAACTGAAGCCTTGTCTTCCCTAAGCCAGATGACACAAGAAATCTTAATGATGCAAAAAGTTAACCAGAAAGGCTCCCATATTCCAAGGGCTACAACAGTACAGTACAAAAAGTAAACCAGGATTACAATGAGCACACCGTCCCTGGTTAATTATCTCCTATGCTCAAAGACATGTATTAACCAGACAGGTGCTGGAGAAAACCATGGAGAATTTCTACCTGTGCAGAGTTAGTCTATTCCAGCATTAAACTTACAATGGCAGACCCAGATTCCAACCTGATTCATTTCTTTCTTACAAAGGAATGGTGGCCAATCAAATTTTCAATCAGGGTCAGAAAAATTTAATTCAACAAATGCCTGTAATTACAGATTTTTAAAAAAAGTATATTTAAGTGTTTAGTAAAGAATTAGATATCTTAAGGCTTAATTTCATGTCTTTTTCATAGAGGAAACACCAAGTAAGATACTTTCCTACTTGAGATACAACAGCAGTAATGCAGTTTTAGCTTTGCTGGAAATGGAATAAGATTGGTTCTTATAAAACTTAATATTGTTGATAAAAACTAATACATGTTGGACACTGTATCTAGGAACTAGGCTATGCACTTTACACATGATCTCAACTAATTCTTATATATCCTGCCCTTTGAGGAAATACTAACATATCCTCATTTTATAAGACTATATAATTGAGGCTTCTCAGTGGATTTAAGTAACTTGCCCCAAATCTGCTTAGTTGGCAGGAAGCCAGGATTGAAACCAGGTTCTGAACTACATCCCAAGCTCTTAACCACTACCCTCTACATCCTGTGTGGCAAAGAAAAACAAGCCTCAGAGACTCAAAGTTAATAAAATGTTCAGAGGCATTACATTCTACACTCCAACTTGGAATTTTTATTATCTACTGTAAAAAAAAAAAAAAGAAGGTGGCATTATCTAAGAAAGAAAACAATAGAAGAAAGTCAAGGAAATCAAAATGGCCATTCTTTTCTTTTACTGGGTAATGTAAACAATTGATAAGTTAACCTTAAAATTTTACAATGCCACACATATGAACACACCTAATCTATTCCATATATACACATCCAGATTACATAGAAATAGATGCTCATTAACCAAAAACATCAGCTTTCAAAACAAACAGTTCCTTAATTTATATTAAGGAACTGTTAGTGGCAGTAAAATTAGTGGCAGTGAAAAAGGAACTTTTACTGCAGAATTGATGTATTTTAACAATACCATAATCCTTCAAAATCAGGCAACTCCATGCACAAACATTTATTGAACTATTTCTCTGTATGGCACTATAAAGATATTTTAGAATTTAAATTCATTCTTACTTGGAACTGTCATCCTCTGAATCTGATATTTCACTGTTTTCACCAGCTACTTCAGCAGTATCAAGTCCCATCAAGATTTTACTAACGTCAGTTTTAAATACCTTCTCATACAGCAATTCATAAAGAAGAGCTGAAATGAAAGAGAGAGAGATGTTATGCAACATCAACTAATTTTAAGTTCTCTAACATAATAATTCAGTATCTATTGCCCAGGCTTCTAAAATCCTAACTAGACCCCTGCAACATCTATGGTCAACAGCACAATTTAATTAAAAAAAGTTACCTACATAGAAAACAACCAGAATTCTCTGCATAGTTAGTTTGAAATCATTACATAACTGTCATTTCAAGAACAATAACACAAAGATATCACAACTGTGAAACAAGTATGATGATAAAAAAAGCTAAATATGCATACTGAGCAGTTACTATACTCCATGCATTGTGTTAAGCCTTTACATTATCTTCATATTTAATCCCAGCATAGTGGTGTAATTATTCTAATAGTACAGATGAGGAAATTGAGAATTATAGATGCCATATAACATGCCCAACCTTAAAGAGACTTGGATGGAACACCAAGAAACATTAAGACTGGAGAAAAGAGGATCACTTTTCATAAGAGACTAAAAAGAAACATAAAATGTACTCTCAGTAGCCAATAAAGCATATTTAGATAACTTTCTTGCTTTAAAAAATGCAAAACATGGAAATATATATTACCAAATATTCAAAACACTTATACATGGAGTTTAGGACTCTCCTTTGGTTTTACTACAGTGATCATGAAAACAAGTGCACTCAGAATTCATCAACAATGAGTCCCCAAAGAGACCTCCATCTCACAAACCACCTTTCTTCCAACCCAATTATATCACCCAACCCACAGGCACTGAGAAGTCCAGGAAAGGAGGCTCCATGAGCATCCTTCCCAAAGCTGGCATGTTCAGATTTTGACTAGCCGGGGGAAAAAGACACGGCCCAGGATACAGACTCCTAGACCTTCATACCTCGAAGCAGACAATCAATTACAAATGTGCATTACACATTATCTTTACTGATCACTAACTTAAGAAGAAAAAGCTGTTACATGCCCAGCACTACTGCTTTATATGAGTGATGGGCACTTTCTCAGAACAGATGAAGGAAAAAATAGAGCAGTAATTCTCAATTGGGATGGGAGGTGGGATCATATCCTCCCAGGAAATATGTGACAAAATCTGGTGACACTTTTTGGTTGTCACAGTGGGAGAGCAATCTACCCAGTAGATGCTAAGGATACTACCAAGCATCCTACAATGTACAAAACAGCCCCCACAACAAAGAATTATCTGGCCCAAAATGTCATTAGTGCCAAAATTAAGAAACCCTGCTCTAGAACTAAGTATTATTACAATCAAATGTTTGATTTGCTCAGCCATTTCGATTTTTCGAGCTGTACACTACCAGCTTTAAAAACACATACAAATCCTTATTGTTGAACTTGACTATTGCAGGAAAGAAATGTTTGTTTTCACAAGTCAAACTCTAGCTATTAGCTCTTTTTTCCCATTGATATGGGAAACCTTTAATACAGTATTAACATTTTTGGTAACCCAGGGTTCTTAGAAATACTGTTTTATACAACAAAACAGAGTATGTTTGCTCTGACTTGTGTGCATTAAAACTGTATAACTTACAAATATAATTTCCTGTAAAAACATGAGAGTGATACTTACACTGACACATAGCAGAGCTCTCTTTATAATTTATGGGATAGACAATATCGTAATGATTTCCATTTGAAAAACACAGTAATACCTGAAAGAGAAAAATAAAATACCTTTCAGCCCTTCATATATGACATTTACATTGCAACTTGTTACCTCCAATCTCTCTCAATTACTAGTAAATAATTTCCAAACAGAAAGTGACTATTTTAGAAGCAACCTAAAGCTCCAATGTAGTCAACTATGATACATCCTTTTGCTGAAATGTTACACCGGCATTAAATCAAATAGGTCTTAAGGACTTGGGGAAATGCTTATGGGATAACAAAAAACAAATACATGTTATGAAAACAACATGATTTCACCTACTTAAAGGAACAAGAATTAAGAGATTTGTAAGAAAATATTCTAAAACTTTATTAATACTTACCACTAAGAGTAAAAATGTTCTGCTTTTTAGTTAAGTACAGTTAACCCTTGAACAATGTGTGGGTTAGGGGTACCAATCCTTTGCAGTCAAAAATCCTAAAACAACTTTTGAATCACCCGAAGCTTAACTACAGCCCCCTTAGGTATCCACGGGGAACTGGTTCCAGGACACACCCACCCCTCCCACCCTACACCAGTGGTCAAGTCTTTCTTATCAACTGGGGGAAAACAATGCACACAGTCAACCCTCTACAACTTCAGATTCCCAACCTCCCACCGCAAATCAAAAACACTGTTTTCAGTCTGAGGTTGGCTGAATCCACAAATGTGATACCCTAGGATCACAGAAAACAGATTGTATATTTAGTGAAAAAAATCCACGTATAGTGGACCCGGGCAGTTCAAACTCATGTTGTTCAAAGGTCAATTCTATTTCTAAGTAATCAACTGCTTATACAAAGAGAATGCATACTAATTTTACTAAGATTAAGTCATATTCCAAAAAAAGGTACCGGGAAAGGCCAGATCCAAAGCCAAGCATCTTGGAAACCCCGAAGTCCTTACAAAGGTAGTATTCCACTCAATTCTCCTCCTCCTTACCGCCCTTAGCATGGTGACAAGACACTTCAAGTTGGCCTGAATGACTCCAACTAATTAAACCAGTTTGTTTTCTTTTTAATGAAATCAGCAGTGTTTTTTTTTTTCTAGACTTTCTATAATTTTTCAGTTGTTTCTGCTCTGAACAGATAATAGTAACACCTTGGCCAGCAAATTATCTTTATGAGAATTATATCACAATTACAAGTATTTCTGGATGCAATGGTAGAACCTACTTTCACACGTTATTTTTTACTATTCAATGTTTATATTTTTATATAGGTATTTTAAATTTTTCTGATTTTGAGAGATAAAGGAAAAGAAGAGAGAGACAGACAGACAAATCAATTTGTTGTTCCACTTATTCATGCATTCATTGGTTGATTCTTGTATGTGACCTGACCAGGGATAGAACCTATAACCTTGACCCCAACTGGTGAGGCTCAGTGGATTGAGTGCTGGCCTGTGAACCAAAGGGTCACTGGATCGATTCCCAGTCAGGGCACATGCCTGGGTTGTGGGCAAGGTCCCCAGTACAGGGTGCGCAAGAGGCAACCACACATTGATGTTTCTCTTTCTCCTTCCCCCCTCTCTAAAAATAAATAAAATCTTTAAACAAATAAATAAAAGGACCTGTAACCTTGATATACTGGGATGACATTCTAACCAACTGAACTACCCAGCCAGGCCCTATCTAATGTTTATATTGACACAAAACAGTAATAGTCTTGTTAATCATATACACTAGTATCTCAATTTCCTTCTCTCTAGTGAAATGTTATGATAGGGTTCATCACAGTGATTGGTGGGGAGAAACAAATACAAAACATTGTGTCTTGATGATTAACAGGACTATACTCTATCAACTCAGTATCTAACATTCATGTACAAATACTTCCAAAAATCACTTCTAATTTATAGCTTAGGAGGTCAAGTTGCCAACTGAGTGGTTCTTCTACTTATATTTCTTAGCAACACTGAAAAAAATTCTTACCTTTTCAGGAAAATTATTTTCAGTTACTTGTGAAGGAGAAACATTTGGTTCCCGATAAATTACAAAATCTTTCCTGAAAATAACATTTAGAAATTACTTCTGATGGAATATTATTTCATGAATAGATTTATCATTCATTCATTCATTCATTCAAGAGCCTCGTGAATGCCAAGTAATAGTCTAGGCACTGAAGTTACAGCATAAACAGAAGACAGTAATAGAATAAATAACTAAGTTGTAGAATACCAATATAAAAGTATTTTTTCAAAAAAATAAAATTTCAAATATAACTTGTACTTGTGTGACTTCAGATAATTCTAAAAGGAGACCTCAAAATCATAGAAAATGTCAAGAGGAAATTCATAAAAACATTTTGAAAAGAAAATACAAAGCATTCAGCTGCTCTTATAAGCAACACTACTAAAATTGATAATGTGGTGCTTTGCTCTGTTCTAGTGGCCATTCAATGCTATCAGCCTTGAGAAAATAGGAAATCATTTCTCTGTAAGTCTGATAAATGATAGTTTATAGGCCTGGAAAATTTTCCATACTCCTTTCCAAAAATATTTTGAGAATTAAAATTTCTAAACATTGACATATCTAAATTGTCAAAATCTAATTCATATAACAAAAAAAAACCCTTAGAAAAGATGCTTCACAACCAAAACATAAAATTACTATTTTAACAATTTTAGTATAATGCAATATACAACTTTTTCACTAACTTCTTGTTTAATTATATAATTTTTTATGACAATGTTTACCTGTACATAAGAGAAAGGGCACTTATTTCCACCTGCCCAACCCATTCCTGTATTAAAGGAAAAAAAAAAAGCACATCAGTGTCTCATACTTTTTACAATATACCTCTAACCCAGCAGTTTTCCACCAGTGTGCCACAGCAGGCACACTGCTGTGCCACTAGAATTTTTAAAACATGCAGTACCTGTTTAGTCAGGGACACTGACCTCTTTCCCCTTAGATCAGGGATATCAAACTCATTTTCACCAGGGGCCACATCAGCCTCACGGTTGCCTTCAAAGGGCCGAACGTAATTTTAGGGCTGTATAAATGTAACTACTCCTTAACAGTTAAGCGAGAGCTCGGTGCTGCTGCCCAGGAGAAGCCAAGTACCAGCCAGATAAAACAAGGTGAAGGGCCGGATTCTGCCTGCAGGCCTTGTGTTTGCCACCTGTGCCTTAGATTGTCAGATTAAAAAAATGACAACAGCCAACTAAGTGAGTCAAAATTGTACCAATTTTTTTGTCAGACCTGCAAGAAATATATTTTTTGGTGTGCTGCAAAATTTTAGTAATTAGTTTTGTGTGCCATGAGATGAAAAAGGTTGAAAATTGCTGCTCTAAACATTATATTCATACATATCTTTACACAACATACCTAATTGGCCAGAAAGCTCACTATTAGCAGTATTATACATATTATAAAAACATTTATAGCCCTGGCTGGCGTAGCTCAGTGGATTGAGCACGGGCTGGGAACCAAAGTGTCCCAGGTTCAATTCCCAGCCAGGGTACATTCCTGGGTTGCAGGCCATAACCCCCAGCAACCGCACATTGATATTTCTCTCTCTCTCTTTCTCCCTCCCTTCCCTCTCTAAAATAAATAAATAAATAAAATCTTTGGGGGGGAAAAAACACATTTATATAAAACAGGCTATAGTATATATAAACTAAAAAGCAGCCCAAATCTCTGCAAAAATCCTTAGTAACAGGGTAGAATGTCAGGTCCTACTGGTGTGGCACGGCCAGAAGTGGTATCCCTAAGTTGAGAACTTGTTGAATGCAGGGGCTCTATTCTCCAACCTAGCACACAGGACAGAGCATGGCACATGCTATGTGCCCAATAAATTAGATGTTGAATAGAAGCAGAATGTAGGAATCAGAAAGGTTTAAACAAAAAAAAGAGCAGATCTCTTATCTTCAAGGTGACTGAAGGTACAAAGAGAGTACTTTCCCAGCTATCATTTTGAAATGAGGTAGATTCTACCGTACAATCCTAAAGGAATATTTAAGCCTTTTAGAAGGAAATGGCCAGCAATATAAAAACTTTAAAGTATATTCACATACTCTTTGACACAGCAATTCAACTTCTATAAACCTACACAAATGTTTCATATGTCCACAAACAGATAAACAAGGATGTTCACTGTAGCTATTTGTAATACTTTAAAAAAATTTTTTAAAGCCTTAAGATTCCACTAACAGATGAAAAATAATTAAACAACTTATACATTTCATACATATGTGTATATGGAATGTGCAATCATTAAGAATGAAGTATACCCATATGAACTGATTTGGGGGGAAAAAATCAGACTAGTATAAAATAAAGTAATAGTAAAGGAGTCTCATTGCATTAAACAAGCAAAATGTATGCGTAATACGTATGTGTACATCCCTAGAAAGAGGACTGGAAAAACACATCCTAAAATGACAGTGGAAACCTCAAAATGAAGATAAGGGAAAACGAAGGATTTTTCACTCTTCATTCTATATTAAATCTTTTACCATAATGTATTCTAGCTCTGGCTGGTGTGGCTCAGTGGACTGAGCACTTGCCTGCCAACCAACGGGTCACCAGTTCAATTCCCAGTCAGGGCACACGCCTGGGCTGCAGGCCAGGTCTGCCCCAGCGCAGGGCATGCAAGAGGAACCCACTTGGATGTTTCTCTCTGTCCCTTTCTCCCTCCCTTCCTCTCTCTAAAAACAAATAAAATCTCTGAAAGAATGTATCCTATACTACTTGTACAATTAGTAAAGACAATACCAAGAGTCACTAAAAATAATGAGCTATGGTAAATGAATGTGGCACTTTTTTTGGAAAGAAATTTGAGATTAAGAAAAAGATGTTAAACAATGATCCCGAGACTTTTCATTTTCATAGTTTTTAAAAGTTGGCTCTGATTTTCAAAATGAAATAGGTAGCCCATATTAATAGATTTCCTAAAATAGGCCTCTGCCTAACAATCGTGGCTTCTCATGAACTGCTACAAGCGACATCCCCTCTGTTGTAAATGAACTCCCTCACTGAAACCAGTCTGCTTAGATCACAAACTCTTATGTACAACGTGTTACATCACTTTAAAAAATAGAAAATTACTACACTAGCATCAATGAAAATACTACCACTCAAATAATGTACCACTTTGTTAAGTATTTAACCTTCAGAATAAATTCTGCTGTAGCTTAGTCAAGTTAATAATGGCTACCACAGTATCTTGTCTTCTCTAACCAGAGTCAATTTTTATATTATAAAAAAAATGTTCTATTATTGTCTTTTACTTCAAGGCTATAATTTTAGTTAATCAGCACTTTTTATGATGTTTGATATACTTCTTTATTGCAGGTAAGAGTAAAGCATTTCTGTAAAATATGTTTTAACTAATGAACTATAGTATATCAAAAATGCATATTTAAATGTTTTTAGTCATCAAAAGCAAATTCCTGTTCCTCAAAAGAAAATGAGACAAGATACAGATTGGAAGAAAATATTTATAAAGTATAAATCCAATACAGAAACTTGTATCTAGTTTCTGTACTGAATTAGCCTGTAACAAACTCTTATAATCCAATAAAACCAACAATACAACAAAAAATGAGCAAAATCCATGAACAGACATTTTATCAATGGAGATATGTGAATGGCAAATAAACACATGAAAAAGAGCAACATCATAAGAAAAATGCAAGTTAAAATCATGAGATAGCCCTGCACAACCACTAACACTTAAGCTACAATTTAAAAGGCTGACAATACTTAGTGTTGATGAAGATGTAGAGCAATTGGAATTGTCATACATTGCCAATGAAAAAGAAAAATGGCACAGCCACTTCAGAAAATAGTCTGGCAGTTTCTCATTCAGTTAAACATATATTTACCATAGGGCCTACCAATTCCATACTAGGAGGGGAAAAAAAAAACCACACATCCACATAAACACAAGCAAATGTTCTTAAGAACTTTAATTATAACAACCCAAAACCGGGGAGAACCTGAAGAGCCATCAACTGGTAAATGGATACACAAATTGTGGTATATAAATATAATGAATAACCACTCAGCAATAAAAAAAGGAACTATTGTGAACACATGCTAATATACACAACAACATAACAACATGGATGAATGTCAAGGTGTTTCCTTTATGCTAGGTGAAGGAAACCAGACATATAAGACTATAAACTACAGGGCTGGCAGAAGTAACGCCTGCTGGAGTTGTGTGGTTGGTAGGGTAATAATATGAGTGTAATAATTTATAGTTTTAATTTGAACATTTCACCTAAAATGTCATGGTGTGCTTATGTGTGATACTGTTATGTTACAAAATTACATGTTTATGATTTTGTAATAGAAAGGAGCAGTATTTCTGCCTGACCCTGTACATTATTTCATTTCTATGAGTTTAGTAAAGACGAAACTTACAAGTGAGATCAGTCGTTGCCAAGGGGGTAGGAGAAGAAAATAAGTGCAAAAGGGCATGAGGAACTTTTTGGAGTGATGGAAATGTTTGTGCTGCTGGCTACACAATGCTCACACTTGTCAAATCTCATCAAATTACATACTTGAAACTAGTGAATTTTATTGTATGTCAACTTTACCTCATTAAAACTGACAAAAATATATATATTCTTGCAAAAAAAATTGAGAAATTTTCAAAATGCCCCACTGCTATTTTAAGTAAAAGGATAATGATGATGCTTTCTCTGAGAACTGAATGAAGCAATAGAGTTTACCCATCAACTGTATTTTTTTTTCATTTCATATGTCCCATATATGGAGGAGAAAAGGAAACAAATTAAGACAAAAATAGGTGTTGTTAATAACAAAGAACAAACAACTACTCAGGAAGTATCAAAAGCACCTGAAGAAGTCTGATCAGACTGGATGGGGGTGTCATAAGAATTAAAAACCTGGCCATTGAGAACCCTGGAAAGGAGGCACCGGTCCTGTGCTCGAAACCACAGCAACTTGCCCTCCTTCCCTCCCAAACTCCCAAATCAGCCTCAACTCAGTTCTCACTGCCTCAGTTCCTCTCTGTGCCCTTCTCTCCATTCCCATTATGTCTATCCGTTCTCAGACCCTCACGGCCCAACAGCCTGAACTGCTGTACAAAGATTACTGTAAAATCACACTGTTGGATTTTTTTCTGAATTAAAAAAAAAGTCTTTGTCATGCCCTTTATTTTCTATAAAGGGAATAAAAATCACCAGTACTACGTACATGATTTGCTTACAAACTCTTATTTAGGTTTCACTTGTCTTAAATAAAGTGAAAGAATTTTAATGTCTGTTTACGTCATTTCTCCATGGTTTCTGGCATCCAAGGTCATGACAGACACTAAAATATGATTCATTGCGTGATTTGTAGCTCTACAAATCTGACTGCAGTATCTACCAAAAAGGCATATCAATTAAAAAAGAAAATCATCAGTAACATTACTACCTAGAGATAAAAACTTCGAACATTCTGATGTTTATCTTTCTTATCTATTACATATAACACAATATGGATTTAGCATTTACTCAGTACACTCAAACTGATCATCAATTAGCCATCCCAAATTGAAAGAAGATAGGAATTCCAAAAGCAATAAAATATACAATCCTTGCCCTCAATGAGGCTTACAAACTAGGAGGAAAAATAGGAACTTTAGGAAAATGAGTTTGTGACCATGGCATGTAGGCAAAACTCAGTACTGAGATCACTAAAATAAGTATGTGGACTGGAGTGTATTCAGAGAAAAGCCCTTCAGAGGGCAGTCACCTCCCAAACTGGAGTAATATTACACTTATTCCTTATTCCATTTATGCTGGGTTAACATGCCATTATAACAAAGATAACAAAGACACCAGGACACTGTCCTTAGGCAACATCCAACCAGTGCATAGTACAAAGCTCCAACTGTCTTACAATTAAATGCTGCATAAAATGTGCACCCAAGAAATGTTTATAAGGAAACAGGGTAATTGACCATAATCCTTCCATACACTGTAATATTAAAAATAGATATATTAAAAGATTACTACATACCTGTGGATTTTCCAAACGTTTTAAATACTCTTCAAATGACCCTTCTATAAACTGAAAAGAAAAACAAAATCTATTAGGAATACATCAAAACAACAGTTAACCTTTCCACTGTGAATTACTGAGTTCCTACATAAACCTTAGATACATTAGTAACATAAAAAATATATACACAAATAACCTAATTATGAAAAGATACACAAATCATTAAGTATCATGAACATACAAAAGGATTTAAGGAGAGGATTCCTGGACAGGATGTGGGCAGACACAGGTCACCACGGCGTGTGGAAACATGAGAACACCGTCTGGGCAGACGAGAGTGACCTGGTCAGCAGGAACAGGGAAACCTCATGGGCAGAGCAGACTGAGCAAGAACTCAGACTGGACGCCCGTTTATAGAGAGCCTGGAGCACAGGCAGGACTTTCAGAAGAGGAACAGAAGGCAATTCAAGGTCACTGCAGGTGATATTATGAACAGAGAAATTATGTGATAAAAGCAGCACTTGAAGATTACTCTGGTAATCTTAATTACTAATTGATTACTTATCAAGTAGTAATCTTGATTACCAATATATAGAAGAAAATAAACAAAGGCAGATACATTAGCTAAGAAATATTAGTTTACTAATATAGATATGAATATTCATTGTTCTTTAAATCAATTATACTAAAAATGGATGAGAATAATGCTAAAAGTATTTTGAAGAATCAACAGATTTTTCTAATACAGCTTGCTTCGCTATCACCTCAACATAAAAATAAGGTATGTGATAACATTTATTTTTCTAATTATGATTACACTAATTGAGAAAGCTCTAAAACACCATCCGAAACACCAAATTCAATTTTATTTAAATTATATATAGTCCCAATCAATTTAGCAAAGCAATACACTCAAAAACATTAAAGTACTCTCCTCAGTCTATAAAAATGTTTTAAATGGATTGTTTTAAAGATTGGGATTCTTTTACAGATCATATACTGTCAAATTTCCAAAAACTATCTTTAAGTTTCAACACACACACTTGTAATAAAATAGCTACATATTTTAAATATTCCACCAATCAGAGGCTACTATTCTATATTAGGTAACTATTTATAGACTTAAAAAAAAACACCACAGAACCATTTAAAGTTGGACGAGACCCAAGAAGTGTTCTGCAAACCTGCATTCAATATAAGGTTCTCCTTGCCATTCAGAAAGCATCCATCTAGACCCTGACTGAACATTCTCAGTCACAAGAACATCCCCTCTTCCCATGACAGCCTTTTCCAATTCTGGCCAACAGAAATTAAAGGTACTTATTATGAGGCAAGTGGAATTTACCCCTTTGAAACTTTCAACCTCTGATCATACCTCGTAAGATTGCAAGGGTTAAATAAATATATACAAAGCATTTAGAATAATGCCAGGCACAGAGTAAGTACTCAACCAGGGTTAACAATTTCCATGACTGTCAACAGTTTTTCCCTCTGGGGACAATAATAATGACTAACTCATTTGTTATTTCTCCAAATACTTAAAGACTACTCCATTTCCCTGGCTGGTGTGGCTCAGTGGACTGAGCACCGGCCTGCAAACCAAAGGGTCAACTGTTTGATTCCCTGTCAGGGAAACATGCTAGGTCAGGGGCCAGGTACCCAGTAGGGGTTACACAAGAAGCAACCACACTGATGTTCTCTTCCTCTCTCCTTCCCTTCCCCTCTCTCTAAAATAAACAAACAAACAAACAAATAGAATCACTCCATTAAACTCCCTCATCTCCACCGCAGCTTAACACTCTATTTAGCTTCCTCATTACCAGTTTTCTTTTTATAAGACAAACTTTCAGATGATATTCAGAAAGATGTCACTAGTTATAATATTTGCTTCAATATAGGACCACCAATCCAAGAACACATCCAAACTAAGAACAATTTACCTAAGAAGGCTTGGAATGGAGTTATTTGCAAAATGTCAATGTTCTTTTGGCAGTCAACAGAGGAAAATACCATTGAAAGTTGTCAGATAACATAATTCTAGGTAAATCTTATAAGGCTTTCAATGTAAAATGAAAATAGATCACTGTCATATTTCAGTCTGCTACATACTACTGAGAAAATTCTAGTAAGGTGTTCTACAACATTTTATTAGTTATTAATCATTAGTTATATAATTACAGTATTCTAATATGTGATTCACAATGAACCCTGAAAACTAAAAATCTATAAATGCCTTCTGCTAAAATAAGTCAGTATGATTACTTTTTTAATTCATAGGGTGTTATAAATCACAGAAAACTATTAACCACAACACCCAATTCCCTACTTCAGCCAAAGCTCGCTCTTAATATGCAAGGATCCTGCCCAAGCCACCTCTCTATCCTCCACAGCTCAGTGTCTTATCTGTCATAGAAGCTTTCTAAATATCTAAATGAATATCATAAAATGGTATAAAAACTACCACATTGATATAATTGGATTTAAATTCAATAAAGAAATTCTTTTTTTAAGAGGTAGATTTTCGCCCTGGCTAGCGTAGCTCAATGGATTGAGCGCAGGCTGAGAACCAAAGCATCACAGGTTCGATTCCCAGTCAGGGCACATACCTGGGTTGCAGGCCACGGCCCCCAGCAACCACACGCTGATGTTTCTCTCTCTTTCTCCCTCCCTTCCCTCTCTAAAAATAAATAAAATCTTTTTTTAAAAAAAAGGTAGATTTTCATGACCTGCGTTAGGAGCCATCCTGTAAAATCCCTACTAGACCACTTCTAAAAGGGGGAACTGTAAATGCAAGTCAAGACACTATTACATGTTTAAAATTACAAATTACCGCTTCAAATTTCTCTCTGTTCTCTCGAAGATAGTGAATACAGGCCTTTCTGACTTCAACATGGCGAGACTGAGAGTGTAAAACCTGAAACGAAAAAGCAACACACTATTAAGCATTTTGTTAACAAAAGATTTAAGTCGCAGCCTAGTGCCTTCTTTCACACCTGAAATAACCTCACAAACAATAGACACATCATGTGTCTTTCTGTAATTTCTAGATCTTTCTTCATTCCCACTTCTTCCTCTAACCACAAAGATGACATGACATATACAGACAACAGCACTTAAGCCAGGTGTCATTCTACAGAGGGCTTATTACCGTTTCTTCTTTAGGTCACTGAAACCATACCTTTGAGCACATCTCTGTAGACTTAAGACATTTTCCTCTCTTGGCCAGCCCAATGCTGTAATTTTGCTCTTCACATAACAGGACTAATGGAATCCCTGCTACGCAGTACTTAGCTTGCTCATCCTATGCATTCTGAAGTACTTGCCTTATGTAGAAATTTAAGTCCACGGTGATTTTAGAAAAATTAAGGCACTCACTCTTAAATCCTTAGTTGATGTGCTTACATGACTCCTGAAAAAACATCCATGTGAGCAGTACACAAGATGCAACATGTTGCTGTGGACTGTCATCCCAATAGCCTTGAAATTTGCTCTTATGCCCAAAATCTCAAATAAGGCACACTACAAAGATGAACCATATCCTCTCCCTTTGTAGCTTCCCTGTTCTTTGTTTAAATATCTAATTCAACAAAAGGATAACTTTATTGGCCCTTTGTATCTTACTAAAATTTCAAAGCTTTGATTTCAAACAAACTATTATCAAACTCTTAGGAACCCTTCAGCTAGCCTCCAATACTTGAACTTTTGCGCTTAAAGAGAGATTAAAATTATTTTCTATTTGCTAGGCGTCTCAAATGAAGGTCTTCCTGGTTCCCTACTGGTTAAAGTGGGGGGCAGGGATGACTCCTGACATTTAAAATAACCACATCTCAAACTACTATAAAGGCCACTTGAAAATTTATATTATAAAGTAATTTTGCGAGTTACAGCTCCAATATATCTAATGAGGGATTGATATCCAAAATACATAAACTCATAAAATGTAATAACAAAAAATAAACAATCCAATCAAAAATTGGACAGAGGACATGAAAAGACATTTATTTCTCCAAAGAAGACACACAAGTGGCCAAGAGACAGACCTTAAAAGATGCTCAACATCACTAATCGTCAGGGAAATGCAAAGCAAAACCACAATGGCATATCACCTTATACCAGTCAGAATGGCTATTATCAAAAAGTCAACAAATAGCCCTGACCATTGTGGTTCAGTTGGTTGGGCGTCCTCCTGCAAAGCAAAAGGTCACAGGGTTCGATTCCAGGTCCAGGCACATGCCTGGGTTGCAGGATCGATAGGGGCACGTGCAAGAGTCAACCCTTCAATACTTCCCTCTCACACTGATGTTTCTCTCCCCCTTTCTCCTTCCCTTCCTCTCTTTCTAAAATCAATATGCATATCCTCAGGTGAGGATTAAAAAAAAAAATGAAAAAAGTTGGTATGGATATGTTGATGAGAATGTGGAGACAAGGGAACCTTGTGTGGTGTTGGTGGGAATGCAGACTGGTGCAGCCACTGTGGAAAACAGTAAGGAAATTCCTCAAAAAACTAAAAATACAATTACCATACAACCCAGTATTTCTACTTCTGGGTACTTGTCCAAAGAAAACAAAAACACTAATTCAAAAAGATATACACACCCCCATGTTCACTGTAGTACTATTTACAATAGACAAGATAACAGAAGCACCTAGATGTCCACAGATAGATAAATGGAATAAAGATGTCGTGTGTATATGCAATGCAATATTATGCAGCAATTAAAAAGAATGGATTCTTGCCACACACAACACGAATGGGCCTACAGAGTATTATGCTAAGTAAAGTAAGTCAGACAAAGACAAATACCATATAGTTCCACTTATAAGCGGAATAAAAACGAACAAACAAAAAATAAACTCACAGAAACAAAGATCAAAGGGACGGTTAGCAGAGGGGAGGGAGATGGGGGACTGGATGAAAGGGTGAAGGGGTACAGTCAATAATATTGTGATAAGTGTACATGGTGACACATGAGTACTAGAATTAGTGGGGTGATCACACTGTAAGGTATACAAATACTGAATCACTATCTTGTACACCTGAAACTAATATAACTCATATAGTACTGTATACCAACTATACTTTAAAAAGGGTAGTTCCAGTTGAGAGATGCTCCCTTATGTTCCCAGTGAGCAGGAAAAGCAAGGCTCCAGCTGCACACTGCACAGGTCTCTCTGGATAACAGCCAAGGCTCACTTACACCCACAGAACCAGAGGCACAACTGCCTGGGCAGCTAGTAGGTCCCTTTAGATTGAAATATACTGAAGATGCACTGTCTGAGGTTAGTAATGACTTTGTTTTCAGTACACCGGCTGATTTTCAGCTTAACTGAGTGCTTAACTATTAAAGAGCATCCTTACATACCGTAACCTTCCAGCACTGGAAGAACTGTCCATATATAAAAATAACCACAACACAACTTTTTTGCCAATTTAACAAATGACAGTTAATGATACTTCACAGAAGCTATGTTAGACAGCATTATGCATCAAGGTATTATTAGTTTGAGTAAACTAAAATGTCATTTGATAGGGCTTCCCAACAGTCAGCAAAGTGAAGCCGGTCTTAATGCAATTTACCTAGCAACAGGTGGTAGACATAAGTTTCTTTTCCATCAAAAAGAATCGCAGGCATACTGTTTTTTCTCTTTTTAACAAAAAATCTGACCTGTTACTCAGAAGCAAAACTCTCAGCACCTTCCATAAAGTGTTGGGTGCTGGTGCTTTAAAAAATCAAGCACTGCAAGAGAAGCAAGATTACTTGACAAGTGTGTAAAAAGTACATTATACATATTCAAGGACACTCAGGAAGAATTCATATGACAAATATCTTTGCAAATCATCACACACATGAAAATAAGCTAGAAATTATAAACTCTTCCATCTTTACTTGGGACAAGAAGGTGATCGACACAGGAAAGGCTGAGATACACTGCCTTAGCAAGTCCTCTAAGAGCACCCTATTTTTAGCTCCATGGCCACAACGCTGATTCAGGTCAGGCCTCCTGCAGGCCCAAGTCCCAAAGTGTAAAAAGGGAAGAGCCCATCTAAATCAGGTAATTTGGAGGGAAAAACTACTCCTAGTTCAAGTCTCTACCCCAGTCCCTCCAAAGACTGTCATTTAGAATACATACTCTGACTCCTTTTAGAAACAAATTATTTTGATATTACTGGAGAAAATGTTGGCAAAAAATTAAATTCCTTGTACATATTTTTAAAAGACAGCCTGAGGCTGGTGTTACTTCCCTTGTCCCCACCCCCACACACATACTTTACCTTTGGCCATGAAGACTGCATAATTAGCCCATGTCTACTAAAGAACTAAACTTTCCCAAAAAATTCATGGTATTAGGCTTCCTAAGTATACTAAAAATAAGAGTCACACAAATGAAAGGGATATTCCCTTTTACCTAACCTAACACATTTTATTGTATCTCATAATGGGATTTATCTGCAGTTAGCAATGAATTCTTAGTACAATTAGCTCTTGCCCTTTTCTACTTAAAAACGGAGATCCTACTTCAATAACAGAGAAGCTTCTGCATAATCAAGTTCACCAATTACCTATGGCATGGAATACTTAAATGAGACACACCTTTCCGCCTCAAAATAAACCATCTCTGGATAATGCAACTCCAAATAAGCACTATTATTTCCCATATTTCTATTGGTTTCTACCTTCTTCCTGACCAAACTCTTGCTCGAGGTAACAGTATATAGAATTCACTTCCACCCCTTCCCTCTGCTTCTGGAAGTGCTGAGCAGTTCAGGGAGGCCAAGGAAGAGGAAGCAGGACAGATGGAGATGTGGAAACCCCAGACTGTTTACCTGCTACCAGTGGAGACTGGGGTGGGTGGCTGTGAACATGTCCCACAGCAACACTGGAACACCCTACATTTCTTAAAAAGAGAGAAAGCTAATGAACTGAAAAAGACAAGGCTTGCTTTGGGAAGTTTTAAGAATGTGTGAATGACAATGCCTGCACCATAATGCAAAGGTGTGTACCAGTTTAATCAATTTCTTGTTTTAAAAAGATTGCATGCTACTGATGTGAAAAGAGGGCCTGTGGAAAAGAAACAGCTGGTCTATGGCTGAAAAAATGAGAATAGACTGGTCTACAGATGTTAAATAAAACATTTATTCACAAACAGAAATTTAGGAAGCTATTTAGCATTTGAAAAGGTGAGGAAAACAGAAACATAAAAACTCCAAGGAGGGGATAAGTGACTCTTAAGCCAAAGGAAAGTAAACTGTGAAAAGGTACGAACTACACACCAGGGAAGTAACATGAAACTTTTATCCATTTTAGCAGCTATTTTCAATATAGGATAAATTTTGGTGACAGCATGCCTACACAGTGTTATATATAACACGAAGTTCTCTTACCAAATTTTTAAAAAATCATTAACAGCTTCCTAAGCAGCTGTGTTAGAATGGGATTCTGACCATTAACGGGAAAATTCGGCCAAGAAGGGCCTAAGGAAACCCTAGTGTTTTATCCTTCCTACTACCAACGCCAGCCAGACTTTTTTAAAAAGTAAATTATTATTAGTGCAATTACACTGCCTTGCAAAGCAAAACAAAGTGTGGAATCTACTCTACGACAATTTTTAAAAAGCATTCTATATTTGTAAAACGCTGGCTTTCCCTAACTGCCTATTTCCCCCTCGATTCAAGTGGACAACGGCGGACTTGACTAACCCACATTCCAAAGTCCAGCAGCAGAAAAAATAAGGTTCTACGAGTCAAGTCTGATGCACCACCTCCCTCTAGAAAACACTTGGTTTACTGGCGTGAACGCTGTGCTTATAAAACGAAGAGAAGGTGAATGCGGAACAGAATGGGAAAATATCGTTTCTCCAATTCCCCAGCAATCAATCAAAGAGCGCACGCCCTCGGCAGGCCTCACGCGTCGGCCTCAACTCATTACCTCTTCACCAGGAGGGACGACACCCAGTTAATTCACGGGTTTTTAAGTTTCGATTTACAGCTTCCAGACCCAGGGCAGCGTCCCATTCCGGCGTTACAATGGGCGGCTGTGACGACAGCGGGGCCACGCGCAGCCCCGGACGTGGGCAGCCCAGGCAGCCGCCGGCCACCCATTTCCCACCCGGCCCCACCGCCCGGTCCTCCGTCCCCCACCCCATTACCTGCTCTGCCACCGCCCGGAACAGGCACGACCCGTCCTTGGCGACCAGTTTCCGATACAACCCCAGTTTCCGCAGATAAGCGTCCATGGGAGTTGCGTCCTCGCGGGGCCCTGCGCGGCCCTGGTCCCCGCCGTCGGGGACGCCGACGGCCGCCTCCATGTTGCCGGTCCCGCTGCAGGCCAGGCGCGGCGCGGGCTAGCCCCACATGGCCGCGCCGCCGGCTACTCTACGCCCTGGCCTAGGGCGGGCGGCGGTTCTGACTCGGGCTCCGCGGGCAGGAGGAGGCGACGGCGGCCCGAGGCAGCGGTCCGCGCTCTCCGCGCGCATAGGGGAGCCCTGCCTAATGCATGGCGGTGCGCACGCGGCCGCCTTCCGAGGGACCGCGCGCCCAAGAGAACCTGGGGGCGGGGGGGATAAAAACCCGGGAGTGAGAAGTCACTTCCCGGCGACCTCGTAGCCCGGCTCAAGACCCGGGCCGGGGGTCGCCTTCCCCACAAGTTTCCTCGTCCCGACTGCAGTGAAGCGAGGAAACCCCGCCCCCTGAGCGCGAGGCCGGCTCAGGTGAAGCGAGGCCTGCGAGTCCCGCACTCCCCACACCGAGGAGCCGAGGAAGCCGAAAGAAAAAGACGCGGCCTTTCGTCTCCCCACCTCGCAGGAGGGCGCCGGAGGGGCGGGGAGCGGGTGGGGAGTCCGGCTGAGGGCAGCACCCTCGCAGCCCAGAATTTGTTTTCGCTTTCGGCCCGACAGCGGAGAGGATGCCGGGAAATGTAGTTTTGACAGCGGCAGGAAGTCGGCAGGCGATGGGCGGGAACGCGCGTCCGGCCTACCAGGGGCAGGCGCTCAGGAGACAACCGGACTACAAATCCCTACAGCGCGGGCGCCGCCTGTGCCGGCTTCGCGCTTCCCGGGCCCCGTGTCTTCGAACAGGCCGAGGGTCTCCGCCAGCCGACGCGCGGCGACCTGCGCGCGCCGCGCCGCTCCCCGGGCCGCCCACTACGCCGCGGGGGCCGCGGGAAGTGCGCGCGCCCTGCGTGCGTGGAGTTGCCAGGGACACGGCGGCGGCTGGGTCGACCCTTTGTGTATTCCCGAACAGAGGGCGCACCTGTCTGCTCCCCTCCCCCCGCCTTCCCCGGCCTCTTCTCCTGGCGTTTCCATGGAGGTGGCTTTAACGGCTTAAGCAGAAAATAGCTAATTGGCGAAGGCTGCAGGAGCTGGCACGGTGCTGGCCAACACAGACTGTCCATAAATCAACCGTGAACTGCTGACTCCTATTAGAAGTACAGCTCACGCGCCATGGCAAGATGATGGCTATGCCACAGTCAATTTTGTTCACCCTGCCACTCTAGCTGTGCAGGCCGGCACAAAGAGACATCACTGGCCAGAAAATGTTGGCATGTTTTTTTCTTTAAAAAATTTCATGTTGCAGTCGCTTAGTAATATGCTGGACTTGCCATGGCTTCCAGCAGTGCTTGAGGCTTCCAGCTCAACTTCCCACCCTCTGAAGCTGAATGATATGTTGAGGACCCGTCATATTCTTGTGACTCCATAATTTTATTTTGCTAAAATGCAACAGCAGCTGATGCCCTAATTAAGTACATGGCCCAGTCTTGAGGCTAAGGTGGAATTAAGGGAGAAGGAAGATGGGGTGTCGTTGTGGGGTTTGGACATGCAGTCAAAGAAACTTGAATGGGGATAAGGCAGGTCAGAGGATAAGAGTCCCACCCAATTACTGAAAACTCTGGAAATTAGTTTTAAGTACTTTCAGTGCAAGCAATTGGTGACTTGTATATTCACCTTGGAAATTCTCAATTTTATTTCTTAATGTTTAAAGATTCTATTTCCAATTGTGCTGTTTTTAGAGAATACAAAAGTTATCATAACCTAAATAAATTTTCTTGTCCCAATATTAAATTTTGTACATGTTGCTGCAGAGAAATATATGCTATGGAATCACGTAGGAGAAATCTAGTTTCAGGTCAAACCTGTTGGCTTTCCTTCAAAAATATTTACATTGTATACACTTCTCATTCCACTCAAAAAGAATTGCTGAGAAAAGAAAGCTATTTGCCACTCCTTACAACAGGATTTGCCTTTTGTTGTTTTTAAGCATGGATTGTCTTTTAAACGCACAGAAGAATTTAAAGTAAAGTAATATCTAAGCTGTAGAGCTTAAATATTGAACTCCTCAAAGGAGTAGATCCTATAGTGTCCATTTTATAAGCAAGACTTTCTGATATGACAAGAAAACCATCCCTTTCCTAACATCACTTTAATATTTCTTCAATAAAAATCTGAAGCTAATCTCATTCGATGTGTATTTATAGGAAACATACTGTATATGTCATGTGAATATTGCAAAGCTGAATATCTTGAGGATATATTAGAAACATTTCCAGGGGCTTCACATTTGAAAATTTAGGAACCTTTTTCTTGTCATTGAAAAATTCATAAAACATTGCTCTAATTTTTTAAAGTCATTCAAATAAAAAGGTTACTCACCTTTTACTCACCTAATTACTCATTATTTTGGATGGCTGATAATGTTTCAAACATTTTCTATTTTAAGGCTTATTTATATTTTAATCTTATTTAAACATGCTTCCATATTTTTTAATAAAGTAGTATCGCCATCTTCTGAAGGCCCTGAATTCGTTTAAATATTTTGACAGAAAAGGGAACCAAATATATCCTTAATTCTACAATGTCTTTATTTTCCATTATAAAAATTTAATTCACTGACAATAGTATAATCAAAATAAGAATGGACATAATTATTTCAATAAGTATTCTAGTAAAGAACCTGACATTAGAGTCCACTTTTAATATTTTTAAATGAGCTGTCAAATACTAAGAAAACTGAGGCCTTTATCAGACCTTATCAAAATTCTATGTTATCTTGTAAAAAGGTGGTTTGTTATCAGATGTATTAGAAGAATAACACATTTCCGGTTTTTTCTCCACTTGATATCTTGGCAAAATTGCTTACTGTCCTAGCCCTGCTGAATGAGTGCAGAACAGCCACACTCCAAACTGGCTGCTTCTGCTTCCAAAATTAGAAGTAAAACACCTGTTGTATGTGACCCCGGGCCTGTTTAAGGAAATCCTTTAGGCATTTTGGGACCTAATCCAAGACAGACCCTCTGTGTGCCAGATCCCCAAATATAGTTTGTCGTTTGGGCACACTTAAAGGATCCTATACCTTTAAACTGGACCAAAATGTATAGAAACTCACTGACTTTCAAAGGACCTTTACTTGTTAGCATTAACTTTTGAAACTGTTCAAGAAACTACATCTGAAATGAAAATGTTCACTTTGACAAAGCCATTTCTGACCAGCAAAAGTGAAGAACTCCTTAAATAGAGAAATTGTAATCAAATAAGAATGGAAAGACTCAACGCTCCTGAGAATCTAATGAAATTAATCAAACTCATTTTATGCGAATGGGTCAACTAACTTTGTTTCCCCTTGTCCACAACACCTCAAGCCTGTTTGCTAGGACAAACTAAAACTAATAATCATACAGGATAAAATTTTTTAAATCTTTATTGTGTTTTTTCCCATTACCTAGAATATTTTTGTTTTAATAAAATGGTAGGGGCCTGGCTGGTCTGGCTAAGTGGATTGAGCGCTGGCCTGGGAACCAAAAGGTCGTAAGGGTTTGATTCCCAGTCAGTCACGTTCCTGGGTTGTGGGCTGGGTTCCCAGTAGGGGGTGCTCAAGAGGCAAGCACACAGTGATGTTTCTCTCCCTCTCTCCCTCCCCCTATTTAAACATAAATAAAATATTTTTTAAGATTTTATTTATTTATTTTTAGAGAGGGAAGGGAGGGAGAGAGAGAAAGAGAGAGAGAGAAACATCAATGTGTGGTTGCTGGGGGCCATGGCCTGCAACCCAGGCATGTGCCCTGACTGGGAATCGAACCTGCAATGCTTTGGTTCGCAGCCCGAGCTCAATCCACTGAGCTACACCAGCCAGAGCAAAAAAAATCTTTAAAAAAATAAAAATAAAAAATGGTAGGTTTTCTGGAGCACCCCCCAACTCCACTCGGCTTAGATAATGTGGTAGCCAGTCTCCTAGTATTCCCACTCTTGTATAATTGCCCCCACCTGGGTTGTTCTGCATGCTCAGTAGACTACAGTAGGGCAAAAGTGATGATATGTCACTTCTGAGATTAGGAGAGACTTAGGGTGCTCTCTCACATTCCCTCTGTCCTGGGTAGGTGACTCTGGGGGAAGCTAGTTGGTATAGGTCCTAAGCAGAATTTCAGAGAGATTCTCTTGGTAGGGAACTAGTCTCCTGCCAACAGCCATGTGAGAGCTTTGAAGTGAATCCTCCAACTCAGTCAAACTCTCAGACGGCTGCAGGCCTGGTTGTATCTTGCCTGCAGCCTCACGACAAACCTGGAGCCAGAACCATCCGGCTAAGCTCAGATTCTGATTTCTGAAATTCTGAGATTCTTGAACTCAGAAACTGTGTGAGATAGGAAATGTTCGTTATATTACGCATCTAAATTTTGGAATAGTTTGTTATACAGCAATCAATAAGTAGCACAGATATAATACTTGGTTTTCTCTTTACTAGAGAAAAAATAGATTTTAATATATTTTCAATATATTTACTAGGCATAAAATGTATTTCAATAATTTATGAAAATAATCAGTAATATAATATCCTTAGTGGTTTTTATTAGTTCTCTAGTAAACTCACCAATAAGTGGAACTTTTTAATATAAAATCCTTTTCAAAAACGGAGTAACCTAAGAATGTCTGAACTTTATTGCTTTCTATAAAAATTCAAGTAATTGAATCCTACAACACCAAATTGACCCTTGCATAGCTTCACTATTGATGGCAGAACTGAGACTTTGCACATTACTTTTCCCAGACTCCTTTGCCATCTGGCTATTGAATACTGACATTAGGAAGCACTAAAGTGAGCTTAGGTGAGAGGAAGAGAGAAGAGACATCTTCCCTGATTTATGCTGTTCCTCAGCCTGTTGGTCCAGCTTTCAGCATCCCCAGCTGCACCTCCCCCTTAAAGGCAAGACAGGAGCATGCCCTTGTAGGTGCTGACCCCCAGCTCCAAAGGACAGAAGTCCCGTTGTTTTCCCTTTGTTTCCCCAGACCTTGATGTAGCTGTTGTTTCTGCTGTTGGCTCTGGGTTATCCCGGTGCTGCACTCTTGTTTTCTCCTTCCTGCAACTCTTGAGTCACCAAGTCTCTGCATGAAATCTCCCTGGTTAAAATACCTAGTGTCTTCGCTCCTCCTTGCCTCTCTCCCTCCCTCCTTCTCTCTCTTTCTTTCATTCTTTCTTTTCTTTTTGTTCTATTTTTACCCCTGGCTGGACTCTGGTTAATACTATACTCCGCCCTGCTAGCTGTAACATGCAGGAATATCTACCTCTTCCTCTATAAAGATACAGAAAGACTGAAACTACTCAAGATTCATTTGCTGTAGTTCACATTTCAACTCTACATCTGTTCTTGGAGAGAAGCTTGAAAAGATCGGTAGTGCTGTATTGATTACTTGCAATCAGAAAATGTTTCAGCGGCTCTGTTTATGATGTCAAAACAGAAAAGAAAGCAAAATACTTGTTACATCGGTCAAAGTTTGGTTCTCTGGTATGGTAAATACTGATTTGAGTTATCACACAATAGGCCAAGTTTTGCTTTTTTTTTCTTTTTCTTTTAACTAAAATTACAAGTCATCCAGAACTCAAAGACTAATTTTATA